GCGTGCAGCCGCTGAGGAGCAGGCCCGCCTTGAGCGTGCAGCCGAGGAGGAACGTCTTGTGCGGGCAGCCGCCGAAGTGAACAGGAGGAAATCAGAAATTGCTCAGACGGCTGCTGGCACGAAGTTGAACGCTGCAGCTTTCCGCGAGGAGGAGCGTCAGCGAGCCGCGTCGTTGGAAGTGACGCGACGGTTGATTGCCGTGCTCGAGGCAGAGGAGACGAGTGCACGCGCAAAGCTCTCGCGTTCCGCCCAGGAGGTGTCAACGACGCTGCTGAGTCAAATGATTCTCGGCGTGCAAATGATGGAGATGGACGTTTCGGCTCCGCGGACTACCGTCACCGCTTCCCACCAAAGCCTCGGTGCCCCTCGAATGGCTTCGACCGGCAACGACGACAAATGGGGCGACGACGACGACAACGACGGTTTCGAGGAGGTCGACATGACGCCAGCGCCGGCGTATCGTGCGCTGAATGCGCACGGCTCTCCCTGGGGCACCGTCAGTGTCGGTGGCCATGGCATCAACAGTGCCGTCGGTGCGTCCTCCGTTGCTGGTGCCACGCACACACCCGTGTCGGTGTCGCGTGACCCGCGCAGCGCAGCGAAGAAGAAGACGCCACCCAACACCCCTCTGGCGCATCGAGGAAGCGGTGGTGGCCCTGCGGTGTCCGTTGTTGCGACGACCCCGACGCCAGTGCGGCGTCCTGGTGGGATGAGTCTGCGGAAGAAGTCGCCGCCCGTGCGCTCGACCCCAGCGGGCGAGGGAGGGAGCGGCGGCGGGGTGACCCCATCCATGCTCGGCGTCCGCCCCGGCGCGGCGTCTGGTATGAAGCCGCTCCACCTGAGCACCGTTTCTTCATCCCCGTCGAGCATCGCGAAGCCTCCTGGTCATCAAGTGAAAATGGACGACGATGATAAGTGGGATGATGACTGGTAAGTTATGGAGACAAGAGTGAGGAGAGGAAAGACGTGGTGACGGAGAGGGGCACAACATGAGGTGTTGCGCACGCCGTGTGTGATAGCGCCTTCGTTGAACAACTCGTTTTTTGTGCTTTGTTTTTTTGCTCGCGGTGGTGCCTCAGCTCCTCCTAAAATTTACATTTTCTTTTCTGCTCTCTCTGGTGGGGAATCTATTTTTTTGGGTTTGTGAGTTGGACTTGCTTAGAGGGGTCTTTCCTTCCTCTTTTCTGTGTTTTGTATTCATTATCAGAGAAGATACTCGCGGCAATTTTCCTGTCTCATCAGACATGCGTTACGGAGGCAGGATGAGGACGACTCTTCCTTCACATCACGGCCGGCTCGAGACGCGTTGCGCATAATGGCCGTTCGCCTTTTTTGGGCTACCTCATGCTTTCCTCTATTACCTCCTGCTCCCCTTTCTCCCTCTCACCCACTCACCTTCATGCAATGCCGTGCCGCTCGACGAATTGTTGGTCGACTTAACACACACACACACACCATAAATCCTATTTATGCATGTACCCTTGCTTTCTCCTCTTCTCTCTGCCCTTGCCCACAAATCGCGCCCATCGAGGAAAGCAATAACAACTACTGCGCCACACATCATCGTAAAAGAAGGAAAAATACCATTTCTGCCGTTCGCAGGTTTTCCTTTGTTTTTTTGTTTTTGCGTTTTCTTAACTAACCGTTGTTCTTTGTTGTTTCTGCGTAGACGAGTGTTCCTGCCGTTCTCTGGTGTGGGTGTAACGCTTGTCTTCATCGCGCTGAGTGTTTTTATTGGGCTTCTAATCGTTTCTGTCTACTACTCGAAAATGTCCGCAGAGGAGCAACTGGACCACCACGCCGAGGAGCCGAAGCCGACGGCTGCACAGGCCGAGAAGGCGGAGGAGTCCGGGAAGGAGGCAGCGACGACCGCCACGCCGGCCAACGAAGCGCAGCCGTCCTCGTCGGCAAAGAAGAACAAGGCGAACTCCTATTATTATTGGCACGGCCATGAAAAGGAGCGGGCGAAGCACGGCGATGTGGCGCCGATGCCCACGCCGCACCTCGTGTCGAAGGACGACAACGTCACGGTGACCGTCCCAGTGGTGCCAACGGTCTCTGTTTCGAAGTACAGCTGGTGTGATGGTGACAAATTTGTTTCGGTGTACGTGGAGGCTGCCACGCCAGCCAGTGGCGAAACGCTGGCGGACGACTCCATCGAGGCCGTCTTCACACGCAACTCCTTTACGCTCTCCTTTACCACGACGGATCAGGCCGGCAAGAAGCGCACAAAGCAGATGGTGACGCGTCTCGCGAAGCGCATTGACGCCGACCGCAGCTCCACGAAGGTCAAACCGAAGACGCAGGAGATTTTGGTGAAGCTGGCGAAGAAGGTGCCGAGCGTTTGGCTGGATTTGGAGGGCAACGCCAGCGACCGCGACTCCGCTGATGATGAGCCGCCCGAGGAGAAATGCGAGGAGGAGGACGACGAGGAATGAAATGATCATGGCCGGCTTCATGTAATATGAATAATGGTAGAAGGCATGCACGAATCGTGGGAAGAGAAGTGACGTGAAGTGTGGACGAATATGATGACGAGAAAGATTCGCTCCGTTCCTCCCGTTTGTGCCCTGGCTTGCAATTTGCATCGCTTGAAAGGGAAAGAACGTCTGAAAGACCTGTGTGCATCTGCGGGTTTTTGTTTCTATTGCTGCTGTTTTGAGAGCGAAACGCAAAGAGATTGTCTATGAGCAGCAATTGACAGGCGCCATCCTCTGGCAGGCGATACTCCTCAAGTCATCACGCCCTCCTTTTTTTTTAAAAGTTTCCATTCTCTTCCCTGTCCTCTCCTTGCTGTCGGTGCTTTTTGTGGTCTTGGCATGTATGCGTCCCGCTTAAAGGACTCCTGCAAGACAAAAGGGATGCGTAGAATGCAAGAAAGGTTAGCCACATCCCCAGAACGACGGGAGGAGGAGGGGAGGAGTATTCAAGGCTGTATTTCAACTGGTTCGTTTCCACTATTACTTTGGTTTTATTGATGGGCTGCGAGAGCGGAGTTGCTGAGCGACGAGAAGCAGAAGCGACTGCTACACTGCTTTGACCGTTGCGCTGCAGCGACTAAACAGTTGAACACAAGAGAGGAGAGAACGCGGGAAACATCGGAAGCCGCTGTATTGAAGCAAACGTTCGAGAGGAGAGCACCCGAAAGAAATGAAGAGGCGACGTGTGTAAACGACTTCCCTCTGTCCCTTGCTGCGTATCTGTTACTTCTGCGTTGGTTCCTCCTCTTTTTTTTCTTTGTTTGTGACCAAAAAATAAGCGGGTCTTGTTTCTTCCGTTCTTTCTGCCCTTTCCCTTTCTTGTTTGTCCTCCTGACGTTGCTGAGTTCTGGTTTTCTGATATCAGCTCACCTACGCCCGCACCTCAGTCTGTGTACGTACACACAAAGCAGATACAGCTAAAGCCCGAATAGTTAAAGGGAATGCGTAGCTTTGCAAGTAGGAAAGCACGAGTGAATTCCTGGTCTGAGCCGGAAACGGTTTCTGACCTCTGTTGTTGAGGATCGGAATCTTCTTTGAAGCAGCGCGCCGCCCCCGCACGGGTTTGCGCACATGACGTCACTTCCGCTGAAGTTCTCCGCACTGTTCGCTTTTCTCTTCTCTGCGCCTTCGGGTCTCTTCTCTTCTTGTTTTTTGCTTTGGTGCGCGCCCGCCTTTTTGGCCGATCAACGCACCACCTGCAACGCGTTGATCCGACCATGCTCGCTCTCACGGTTTTACTTCGCCGTAGCCACTAGCTAAATATTTCTCATCTTCACCTCATCCCCCCTTTTTGCCGGTCAACTTCGCCCTTCACGTTTATTATTATTAATATTATCATTTGTTTCTTCTCTCGGGGGGCAAACCTTCTTACTCTTCACCCTCACCTCGATTCCACAGCACTGAGCACAAACACACGGTAACAGGAACCCCCTCCCCTCATCAACAACACAAGTGAGCACACAAGGAGGGCACAATCGACACATCAAACAAAGGTCAGTTTATGAGAATATTTGCGCTGTGTGATAAGACAAAGGACCTACGGTAGGAAGCAACAACGAGGTGCCCTCGCACCTTCGCATCATCGACGCATTTGTTGCGGGTGATCTTTACCTTGCTCCTTCGCATGCGTGAGGCGCTCTCGTCCTCTTCCTTGTTAAGCATTCCGTTGAAGGTGTATTTCTCCTTTCTTCTTCCTCCGGCTTCACCTTTTTTAGAAGCTGCTAAACTCCGTTCTTATTTTCCGTGGTTACCCTTCTTTCGTTTTCCTTCCTTCGAACACGCCGTAGAAGCCGTCTCCAACACGCCAGTGCTGGTTGAAACGCTTCTATCATCTTTTTTGTTCTGTCTTCTCTTTCTACCTCGTTTCTCACCGATCCTGAGCGGGCTCACACAACGCTGTCCTTAAAAGAAAATTAATACGAGGAAACTATTAAACAAGTACAATAGTTTATTACAGAGAAAGTGCCTAAAGCCCAGAGAGGATACAATACCAAAAAAAAAGAACTGAATTTTTTATAAAGGACGAAATAAAAGAGGCACCTGATCAGCTTGTCAAGGGTGGCGCGCACGGACGGTACCGAGCTACTCGCCTACGAAAAATTCCAGTCGAGACCGCGACACTCCTCCACACACCTGTTCGCGAAGGATTTTTTTTTTTTTCATTCCTTTCTTTCTGCCATCTTTTCTTACGAAAGGAAAGAAGAGCACCATCCCGTTTTCCTTGCTGCAAAGGGAGGGAAAGGGAGAGATTGTACGGCACACACGCAAACAACAAAAAACAAATATAAACAGAAAAAATAACCGACAACCGAGATTTGTTTTTGCCTCGGCTCTTCGAAAGGGATAACAATTCTCTTCTTTTCTTGTTCTTGGAGTTTATCCTCTTTGGTTTTGTCCTTTTCACGCTCCTCTCGAGCCTTTTCATTCGTGTGCACTCTACTTTTGTTTTTTTTTGTTTTCTCTCTATAGGTTTCTCTCCCCCTTCGTACTGACATCATCAACGATTCTCTTGGTTCTTGTTTGCTTTCTATATCTCTCTCTCTCCGTGTGTGAAGCTTTGTGACGCCGCTTTTGCTTCTGGTCTTTTTTTGGTCTCTCTTTCCGTAGCGTTTGGTAGATCTGACTAGGAAGAGGCCCTCCCCCGAAAAAAAACAACAGGAATCTGCCAGTTAAGACATCCGTTTATGGAAACCTGAATTCATTCCTTCGTGATTCACTGTGCGGACGCGTTATATAATCTATCTGTTTGATTTCTCTTTTCTGCTCTGTTGCTGACACATCAATTAAAAATAGACCAACAACAACAAAAAAAAACCGAAACTGTGTGCGTTGCTTAAGTGCATGGGGGATAAATAAAAGGAACGCATCAGTAAACAAACAAACAACAAAAGACAAGTATCTTCACTGATAGCTTGTTTTTTTTTTTCTGTTCTGTTTTCTTCGTGCTCGTTGGTCTCTGTTTTCTTTCATCTTGACAATCGTGCTGGAGAGAGGACCTTCACATTTAAAAAAACAACAACCGCAAAAACACCAAAAAAAGAAAAAGAAAAGAAAAGCAGAAGTGCCTTCTGCATACACAAAGCGACATCCCATTGCCCGTACCCCCAAAACGTGTCGAGCCTCTCCAATCGGTAGAGCCTTGAACAACATTTTACTTCCTTTTTTTTCTTTTTTTGTATGCACGTTACACTGTCCGATTGAGAGAGCTTAACCCCCACCTTTTCGTTCTATCTTACCGATTTATCAGTGGAATATATATTTGGCATGTTTTTCTTGTCTTATCTTTTCTTTCCTTTGCATTGACGACTCAAGCTATTTTCCTTTCTTCTTCTGTGTTTGTTGTGCTGGCGTATTTCGACTTTCTTTCAACGGAGAAGAATCTCAGCTGACAAATATACTCAAGTTTTTTTTTTCCGCGTTTGCTGTCGTCTGTCAGAAAGAACACAAAACCACTCACACACACCCTTATCCGGACAACTCGTCTGCTGCCTGATTATCCTCTCACGAACGCCTTGATTCTTGCGATTGAGTCCTGCGTCTTCCCCCATTTTTTCAAATCCGACTCTCACCAACGCAAAAATAATTAAAATAAAAAAAGAAGAAGCGAACGCCGTGCGCTTCCTTCCATTTTTTTTATCTTCCAAGATCGCAAACTCGCTGGTCGCTGACAAATCGAAAAGGGAATACAACGATCTCCTGCGTTTTTAAAGGCTGCTGATTACGGTGAGGACAAGCACGAGGAGAGAGCCGATAAGCAGAAGAGACTTCTATCCGCTTTTATATTTCTGTTCTGTTGCGCATCTTGTTGTATAGTTACGCAACTGTTTGTTCGCCTCTTTATCCATATTTCTTTCTGTGTGTGGCATTTGTGGAATAGTTAGTTAGTTAGTAATTTAGTTATATATATATATAGAAAGAGCAGCGTGTTGATTCATCTCTCACTCCAAAGTGCTGCTTTGTACCTCTGTGCACGTCTTCAGCGCGTCTTTCTTTCTTTTTTTCAAACAGCAAACGCTTCTTTATTGCTTGATTACAAGTTTTTTTTGTTTTTGTTCTCCTCCTTTTTGTGTGTGCGTGAGTATTTCGTCGCAGTCACCGAAATTCGAGATAGGCTTTAATTGTACCCAAGAAGCAAACAGTATTCCCGCACCAAAGTGGACTTTTTTTTAAATAGCACGACCGCTTTCTAAACGTGAGACCACTGCCACCTGCCCGTTTTTCTTTTTCCTTTCTCTTCCTTTCTTTATTCGTTTGCGTTCTTTTGTGTTTGCTGTTGAAGCGAGGGTTTCCAACCAGTCGCGAAGTTGTGTTTATCTGATTTGCGGCTGCCCCGCCGTTGCTGGTGTCTGAGTGAACTTTCTTTTTTCAGGTCCAAACTTCTGCTTTTCTCTTTTCCATTTCTGTGTGTGTGTGTGGACACCTCTGAAGTCCCCCTTTTTTCTACTCATTAGGAAGGTTTTTCTTTGTTTTACTGACGTGAAGTCAAGTTGGAAAAAAACCCGAAGGAAACAATCACCCCTTGCTCACTACGAAGATTTTCTTTGCGCAGCCCTCGCTGACTCGCCTTTTCTCTCAAGGCATCGACCTGACAGACTTTTCTTTATCCCTTTTTCCACTGTTTTTCTCTCTCAGAATAATAGCAATAGAAAGGAAAAGCGCGTGCCAGTCGTCCAAAGGTACTGCCGCTTTTCCAGTTGCTTCTCGGAAACTGGAAAGAGAAGAAGAAAGAAAAAGAGATACGCAACTCATTTGAGTAGGGGCCAGCTCGCATTGTAAACACCAACAAAAAGAGAAAGTACTGCAACTTCCTTTAGGAGAGGGTTTTGCTCACTACGGGGTGGGCGCCTAAAGGGTCCGAAGAGGGAAATTGTGCTTGAGTAAAAGTGACCTGTGCCTTCTTGTTTTTCCTTTCATTCCTCGGCTCGGTATCATAGCCACATATATATACTGCGACATAAGAACGGGCCCGTGTGAGAAGAAAATTTTATTCTTCTCTATTTCTTTACGAGTTCCTACCACGCGTATAAATAATCCATCAACGCGGAGTTACATCACTTCAGACCTTTGGTAGCTGCTCTTCTTTAGACCTTTTCCATCCTTTAGTTTCTTCGTGTACGAATTGTGAGAACCACATCCTGGTGCACAGCGTCCTCTTGGTTACCTTTGTGTGTTTTTATTTTTCAGGTTCGCCTCATTATTTGATATATCAAAGTCGTTTTTACCTTTGAAAAGAGCCACTACTAATAAAAAACGTTTTCTTTTCCCTCTGTCGTTTCATTCGAGCTGCAAAGCTGCCTTTCAGTTGCTGTTCTAAACGTTGGGGACGTACGACGGGCGTGTTTCACCGAGACGGTAAAGCACCGGTGGCCTTCTTGCGCAGTGTCTTTTTTTAAAACCTTTTTTATTTATTTGTTAAACTCACCTTCAATCACGAGGGTGTATTGCCGAAAAAAGAGTGAAATCTGTGTTTTCTTCTTCTTTTTAAGGTGGCTTTTATTTTGTCTCCTCGTTCGCCATCTCTTATAGAGACGCCTTGTTTCTTCTTTTCTCTTATGTGATTTCTGCACGAAGGGAGCGTGGGTGTGCATCATAGCGAGATCTGTGGTCTTCTACGAAGGTGAATACAAACCGCTTCTACTGTCTTCTTATTCTTCTCTTCTTTTTTTTGTTCCTTCTCGATTCTTTTCTTTTCTTGTCTCTTCTGTTTTGTTTTTTCCAGACTTTTCCTTTCTCTGTTTTCTTGCTAATTATATTTTCAGATATCCTGATCGCCCTAAACAGACAAACGGAAGCGACAGTTTTCTCTTCTGCCTGCTGAATTCTAACCGTTTTATTTGAGTATATATATTTTTTCTTCTGTGTGTCCTTTGACCAGTGTAAGATGACCTCACCTATCACTTCTGCTATCACCCAGTCGACGAACAGCGAGGAAAGCGGAAACGCTTCTTGCGGCACGCACATCACCCTGCCTTGTGAGCTCGACCCAACCACGCAAACAGCACCGTCGTCGGAGATGGAAGACCAGCTCTCGTTGAACCCTTCGCTCGCCTCCTCGCACTCCACGACGGTCCCTGAATGCAATAGTACGCAATGCAACACGCCTGTCAACGCGGCAGGAGTAAAGGCTGTCGCCACCGCCTTCCCGAATCTCCATCGTGTGACGTCGGTGGAGGGGTGCGGCCTACACGTGCCGGAGATCTACAAACGCGCTGCCGCAGATCAACAGGTGCGGGCGGCCATCGCAGTCAACGTGAAGCACGTCTTTCACTCCCTCACCGGATTCGACGTGGACGAGATCTTCGATCTCTTGTTCGTGGAGGAGACGTGGTTCTCGGCGGAGGTCGTCATTCACGCTCTCTGCCTGGTCAACCGCATCTCGCCTCGCTTCCCGTACTGGTGCGCGCACGCGATTGAATCGGACACCGACACCTCCAGCTACCACGACTCACCGATCCGCGGCGGTTCTGCCGCCGCCGCCACGGTTGCCGTGTCGCACGTCTGCAGCAGCACCTCGAGCGACTTTGGCCACCCGGACAACACCGATGTTCTCTCGGAGGCGTCTTTCGACCTTGCCAGTCGCTCGTTGGCGCGCAGCCGCAGCGGCAGCACGAACAGCCTTGGCGACGTCTTCACCCGCTCGAATAGCCCGCGGTGCATGACGGCGCTGCTGCTGCTGTCCAGCAAGTTTCACGGCGACATCGTGTACAACACCGCTTCGCTGTCCAACGCGGTGAACAAGTTCCGCGACGAGCAGATGAAGAGGATGGTAGATGCGCCCGCGTCGCTCTCGCCCGGGTTGCGCCGCAGGCCTCTCCTGCGCGTACTACCCGCCACGTTGGGCCAATGCGAGAAGCGTCTCTTCCGCGAGCTGGGATGCTCGGTGTTTGTGCACAAGGAAGAGTATCAGCACTGCGCCGATGTCGTGTTAAAGGGGATGTGAAGTTCGTGACGCGTTGAGAAGCCCTCCTTTCTCATGTTTCTTTCGTGTTTATTTATTTATTTAGTTGAATCTGTCTGATTAACCGTTGGTCATTCTCCCGCTTTCCCTGTTTGCCTCTCTTTTTAGGTTTTGTGATTTCCCTTTCTTTGTGTGTGTTTCTTCTATCCTCTTTGTACTGCCGCTACACGTGCGGTTTTACTTTTACGCGTTTTCCTTTTACGGTTGCGTGTTACACAGGTTCGTTCTTTTCCGTTTCGCACTAGTCCTCTCTCTCCTCTTCCCTTCTCCGCTCTCCGGTTGCCTCTGTGATGTACGTTGATGGCTTCCTTTTTTTTGTTTGAATTATTTTCCTGCTCTCTCACACCGCCCGTCGCTATGGCGAATTGACTGTAAACTCGCTGTATGTAGTTTCTTGTCGTTCAAATTCTTTTTCGTGGTTTTGCATCCCCCTTTTTTTTAAAGGTTATTCCTCGTTGTTTTTGTTATTTGATGATGTTGTTCTCTCGATTTAACAGAGGTCAGTCTTGCGGCTGACTCCATCAAAGACGTACGTCATACCGTGTTAAGCGAGCGATGTCGCAGCAAAAGTAATGTGAAGAGAAAAAGAAAGAATCGAGGACAGTTGTGACGCAAAAGATTTTATGTGAGCTATGCCAACCGGCAATGGTCAGCTTGTTTTTTTTTAAGGCAGAATGCTTGATCATAGTCGCTGAAAAACCCGAACCGCCCCAGAGAATACCGTAGGAAACGAGACAACGTACCTTCACAACTCATTGGCCATTCCTGAAGCTGCATCTTTTTTCTTCTGGCAAGATGAGTGACCTCCGCATTTTTTTTTTTTACTTGTTGTTGGTAACTGTTGTCTACAGGTTTCCGCTCTCTTCTTCTTTGAGTACATAACAGAGATGGCGAACACGCTTCCTTTCCATCATTTTAAAAAGCTATCGTTCAACACCAAAGAAAACAACAACAAAAATGTGTCTGGACGTTGCGTTGTTGTGGTTGTGCATCAGAGCTTTTCAATGAATCACTTCCCATGGAGCGACGCACAAACTTCGCTCAAAAAACAAAAAACACATCTTTTTGCGTTCTGCGCCTTCACTACCCGTTTTCTCTTTTTTGTTTTGTACTGCTGTCTTTGTGAGAGTTCTTCTTCTTTCTCTCTCTCTCTCTCTCTTTCTTTCTTCACTGTCATGGTATCTCGCCAGAATGGTGCTTTCAATCTGTACAGTGTTTCTGCGGCGGTTGTTTTTCTTCTGAAACGGAATTTTTGTTGAAGAACTCCGCATCTCTTTATTATTTTTTTTATCAATATTAATAAGCGCAATGAAACGTCATCGACGAGCAAAGTTGACTGAGCCGTCGTGGCGAAACTACCAAAAGAAAAGAGTTCTTTTTTTTTTTAAAACTATGGGCAGTGCTCGTGTCAAGCGCGCGAATTCCAGCTACGATTTTTCACCTGCAGCGGAATTTGTGTGCCTGTCCTTCGTCTTCGTGCCATCGTTTCCCTCCCTCTTTTCGCTGGCACAGCAAGAGACACAAAAATAACCAAAAGAATAGAAAAACACGCACATACATATTTGACACGCTAGCGTGCGTCTTTCAGAGGAGTGCCTTGCACGTCCGACAGTGTGCACGTATATAGGTCAGTAGGAGGCGCGCTGTTGGCACGTACTCTGAAATGGCAGCAGCGCCGTTGGAAAAGCTGCATTGTTGCTGTCACAATCGATTTTTGTTTTTTCATTTTTGTTTCCTCAATTCCTTTTTTTTTCCTTCTTCACTCCTGCGGTTTGACCGTTATTTTCTGTTCCTCTCACTTCCCTTCTTTTCATTTCGCTTCCTTTCTTGTTGACTTCTTTCTCCTGTACGTGTGCCCTCCCCCCTCCCCCTTCCTTGTTGCTTTCTTTTTTTCCTCACTTTGACGTCAGCAAAATACACAATTTCCATCACACCCTCTACTGCTCCTTCTTTCTGTTTTCGGCGCCTCGCGTGGCTCGTGTCCGGCCTCGCGCCCTTCTTTGCCACGATGGAGAACGAAAAGAAAGAACACCAAAAACCAACGATTTGCATTTTTTGTTTCCCACCTTCACCGCGGCCACCCTTAAAACTGATCGTGGGAGAGAAGAAGGAGATACTCAACTTCTGGATCATTTTCGCTCTTTTTCTTTGTGGAAGCGGTACCGAGAATGGAGAATGAAAAGAGAAACCTTTTCAGTGTCTCTTTGAAGCTGTAGAGTGATGGATTGTGATCGCTGCTTTCAATAGGTTTCCTCCTTTTTTTTTTTAATTTCCAGACCGCTCAAAGTCTTCCCGACAAGCAAAAATTTCTTCGCTGCTTTCCTCATCTCTTGTCCGAGCTGCTACACAAATAGCAGGCCTTCTTTATTACTATTGTCTCCGTTTACCCTTTAGTTCCTGATTATTTGAACTGACATCAGCGTTGTTTATTTTCTCTTTTTTTATTTGTGTGTCCTTGAATTTCTTCTTTAACTATTAGGCGTCTACAAAGGTGTCTTGTGCCGGTGCACGGACGCCATTCTCGCCGCTTCTTCGTTTTTGATTTGAATTTTCTCTTTTATCTTATCGGTATCCGAACTGTTATTTTCTTCTTGCTCTGTGGTGAAACAGCCTGACGTAACCCCTTCTTCTTTCTTTCTTTCTTTCTCTCTCTCTTATGCGCGCCGGGTGCGACACTTTCGGTGACCCAATGCGCGAGCACAGCACAAAAGAAAAGAAAAAGAAGAGAAAAATAAAGCTGGGAGAAAATTCCAACCAAGCGTAGTGCGTACGATGGTGCCTTCACGCTGTCTCCTCGACGTTTCGTTTTACGTGGTTCTCGTTCTCTTTCGTTTTCTCTGTTTGTTGTTACTGTTACTATTAATGGAAGCGCTGCACAGGAGAAGCAAGCTAAAAGAGAAAAGTTCGCTGCGTTTTTTTCCCCTAAAAAAACCCAGAACAAACTAAAATGGACTCGCCTTAAACGATGGCGGTGTCCGAAATAGTTTCGTGATGTTCTCGCCACTCCATTAACGAACGAACAAAGAGAAGTAATGGTGTAAGAAAGCTTCTCTTGTCAACTTGTCCCCTTCTTCTCTTCATAAAAATCCGAACGTCAGATGCTATTCGTATTCGCTATCACTATTTTTTTTTTTCTAAAGTGATTCATTGTTTTTGTTTTGTTTCTTTTCCATTTTTGGAAAAAATCAGCTTTTTTGGTTTTGTAGCTTGCATGAACGCATCATATATATATATATATGTTTTACTGTTTTTTTTTCCCATTTTCTTTCATTGACGTTGTTTAACAGGTCTCATCATCACTCCACTGATGTGGAGAAGAAAGAAGAAAGTGAAAAGAATAGTTTTTCTGCATACCAGTGGAAGACTGCTTTAGTAGAGAGTTCTGTCGTGGTTGCAAGAGAGCGTTGGTGGTGGGCACCTCCGTTTGCTCTCTCTCTCCATTGGAAGAGGCTGCAACCTCGATTTCTTCGGCAGGCATGTTGCGAGGCGTCGCTCGTCGTTCTGGTGCTCACGAATGCGCAAGCCAAGAGGCAGAGATGAGCAACACGGATGTATGCATTCACAGCGATGAACGTCATCTTTTCGGACAAGGATGGAACCTGAAACACCACAGACGAGATACAATTAGTAAAAAGGAAAAATTATCCAGGAGAGCTGCTTCCGTCCAATGACCTTTACTTCCATCGCTTCTCTTTTCTTGTTCCCTTCCTATTGTCTCACATTTCCATTATTATTACTATTATTATCATATATATATATATATTTCTCCGTCGTCATCTTCGCGGTCACTCTTGCGATAATTTGTTAGGAAGTGTAGTTGAGCGCGCTTCCAACTACTCACACTGAGGGAGTGAGAGGAATACAGACGCATTGAGTTTCTGTTTTTATGAGTTTTTCTTTTCGCGGCGTGTAGCGGGATATTCATCGTAGTCACGTGCACCGCTGATTTGGTGGTGCGAGAAAGGCGAGGAGCGCCCAGAAACTTTGGCATCTGCTTTCGTGTATGTTGCTGCTGCCCACCTCTTGTACCAGTTCGGCAGTCGCGGCTAGTTTGACGGACCAACTGAAGTTGACCCTTTTTCTCACTCACACTTCTTTCACATACCTTTTTTTTCTTTTTGTAAGCCACTAAGTCTTTCACATTTCTTTCTGATTCGATTTGTTAGGGAAGTGTACGTGAGGGGAGTATCGGCCACGCTGCTGCACTAGACGAAGTCGTAGCACCACGCAGGAGAGCCATACTCTTGAAAAACAAAAATCAACATTTTTGGTTGTTTCATTTTCTGATTTTCTGCTTCTCTGTCCTTTCTCTTTTCTTCTACTGTTTCGTGGTTTGGTAGGGAAAAACACAATAGTACATTGCTTCTGGTAGCATGCGGCATCGCTCCTTCAGTTTCACAGCTGCGTGCCCCGCACGTCGAAGAGTGCTTCGATTTGCAGAGGCACCTCCCCGGCGCACCTGCGGTCCTCTCACACTCCGACTATCCATACGTACGTACACCGCCATCCCGCTGAGCAAGGTGTTTCTTTGTCGTGGTGCTTGCCCACACCTTGCGGGCAACAGAGAGACAGCGTGCACCGCAGCACCGCCCCCCTGCGATGTGTCTTCCAACGCTGCAACGGCCACACATAATGTCTGCGTATGCCCGGCAGCAAACGACGCTCTGCTGAAGCAAAAGCAGTCGCACCGCTTTATGCAATGCCGCACCACGACTCACGTGCCAACGCTGGCATACGCCGCGTCGGCAGTGGTGGAGGAGCTGCGTGTGTGTGAGTCGGTGCGGCAGGCCTCTCGCGTGGCGTGTGTGCGCGTCCCTCGTCTGCTCGTCTTTGGCGGCGACGTAGTGTCTGTCACAGCGCTCGAGGCCCTTCACGCTCGCATGCGGTGCATCGTGTCTGAAGCGCTCCGCTGCTCTCGTCGTAGTGGTTTTGGTCGTCATACTGATAGTAGTAGTGGTAGTACGAGTGAGAGGCAGCCCGGTTCCTCCTCTTCACAAGTTGACGCGGTGGGTGACATCAACGCGGAGGAGGAAGAGGCCGAGGTGGATGCGTTTGTGCGGGAGCACATCACCGTGGTGTGCCCGGCGCTGCCGAAGGGCATCACGCCCGAGGAGGCGGCGAGAAAGTTTACGCGGCAGTACCCTGTCGCGCGGTACTGCATCGACCACGGACTCCCCATCATCCCCGTGGACCACTCAAAATCACTCACGCGGAGTACGCTACTCAAGGAGATGCTCCGCACTGTGCAGGGAACCGCCGCTGCTGCAACGCCGGGAGCCACGACACCTCCCGGCACCACGGCGACGTCGTCCTCGCACGCCGGCCGACCGCAGAGGAGCGCGCCGCTTACGCATCACCTGCCCTCGCACGTCCTCTCTGCGTCGCGGCTCGTGCACCGTCGTCACGCCACCTTCACAGCCGCGAGTAAGGCTGCGGATGACGCAACGGCGGGGAAGTATGGAATTCCGGGGAGGGGTGATGGCGCAGTGGCCGAGGTGCCGGCGCCGCACACGTGGGCCGCACAGGGCCGCCCCCTCGACGACTACGACCTCGCCGTGGTCGTGTCCTTCCGTTATTTTCTCCCGCAGCAGCTCCTGCGTGTGCTGCCGCCGGTGATCAACATGCACCCCTCGCTGCTACCACGTTACCGCGGAGCCAGCCCGATCTTCAGCGCACTGCGCCACAACGAGGCGGTGGGCGGGGTCAGCATTATCCAAATGAAACCGGAGCAGAAAGCGATGGATTCCGGCAGCATTCTGTGGCAGTGTGAGGTGCCCATGACGCCGGACATGGACATCCGCCTGTACTTTCCGCTGGTGACCCAGATTGGTGCGGCGGGGCTGTGCGATTTGATCTTTGGAGAGGCCCCCGCCTCCTCTGGTCCTTCTTCTTCCATCGCACGTGCGTCGAGGCACACAGCGGCAGCTGTGGCCACCTCTGCGATGACGGCGGCGGAGTGTGCGGGGGCTGCCGCTGCTGCTGCTGTGCTTAAGCGATCCAGAACGCACGAGATGGCCGTGCACCTGGAGGAGGTCATCACTGTAAAGGAGAACAGTTTCCATCGGACACTGCCAGAACGCGACGAAACATACGACGGTCACAGTGATGACGTTGCGGAGTGTCATGGAGCACGCAACAGCAGCAAGACTCCTCCGGCAGATCCACACGCACACGGCAGTGAGGAAACCCCATTCATTCCGCCGTGGGTGGCGCTTCGTCGCAGCAGCCTCATGCCCGTTGTCCACCGCTCCGACGGCCGCGCAACCCTCCTCTCGCCCCTTCACCACCGAGAGCGTCTGGCGCCCTACGCCGATCTGCCTGAGCTCTCTGCCTTTTCTTCCATCATCACAGCCCAGTCGACGGAGATGGCCACCGAGAAGGGAAGGACCGGCGGCGCGAACAGCAGCGCTGTCGGTGAGGAAGCACAGGCAGGCACTGCTACTGGTGGGGACCACACTGATACTCCCCGACCCTGCCGGCGCTGGATGACGCTGTGTCGCGGCTCCACCCACATCACCCCCGAGGCGGTACATGAGGCCAGCAACGCACACCGCGCGCTCTTCTTCCAAAACCTTGAAAGTGCCTCTGCTGCCGCCTCGTGCGGTGTTGGTGGCGCAGGTGGCGGAAAGCGCAAGAACGTTCCAGTCAACAAGAAGCAAGTCTCTCCGGCAGCCGCGGCGGAGCTGGCGGTCAGCACCGCGATGAGGTGCGCGGAGGTGTTCCCCAAGTCCGTCCTCAGCCCCCACTGCGACTGGCCCGACAGCTTCACCTACAGCTGGAAGTTTGCGCAGCAGCAGGAGTATGGCACCTTCGCCCACTTCACCGACGATCCTTTCCACGCCCCACTCCTCCCCAAAGACTCGGCCGTGCTGCGGTTTAGCGCGTTTACGGCGATGGAGGCCTTCGGGGTATGGCGTGCCTTCGTCGGCGGCGACTACTTCCAACCGTCCGTCAACGCCACGTTGGATAAAGGGAGCAGTCCGGTGCGAAATCAACTCGTTCATCGTGGCGTGCGGCGCCTGCTGCGGGAGCGGGCGAGGGCGCAGAAGAAAAAAACATCGCCGCCGCCGCAACAACAACAAAATCGGCAACCACGTCTGGATGAGGCGGCCGTAGCGACGCTGGTGGCGACGAGCGCGGATAACGAGACACCGGTCGGCATCGTCGTGGGCAAACACATCGACCTAGACGTCTTCAACCCCGTTGGATTGCGGCTGCTCGCAGAGGCGGAGAACATGCTGCGCATTCCGTGTACCTTTACCCAGGTGACGAACCCCACGCTGGTGCCGCCGTGTGTGCAGGAGGAGCTGGCGGAGGTCGAGCGGGGCGGCGATCGCTGCTGCGGCTGTCGACCGTCCGCACCGCTGTCGGGGCGACGCGTTCGGTTTTACCGCGCCCCGCCGGCCATTTTCCGCTCTCTGCTGTCGACGCGCGCCGGCGCCAGTGAAGATGACGAAGAGAGCGTGAACACGCAACGGCAGAGCGGTGCTGCCGCCGCCGCAGCAGCAGGCAAGAAAACGGCTCGCGTCCACGGTGACGCAGCCTCGGACAAGGCCGAGACAAACGATGGAGAAGCGGCGACGGAACCCAAGGGTCGCTGTAGCAGGAATGCAGCGAGGAAGTCGCGGCTGCAGCGGCAACAGCAGCAACCGGACGAGCCGGCGGAAGATGAGGAAGCGCCCGATGACTACGTACCAGACGTGATCCATGCAGCCCCGCCAACGGAGCACCGCTGGCACATCCCCCCTGGCACTGGGTACTTCCCTGAGTCCGATGAGAGCTACGGCGCCATCAAGTGCAGAGAGGGATGGTTTCTATGGAAGGAAGCACACATGAAGTGGGCCAACAAGGCGCAGCCTACCGTGCTGATCCGCAAGGGCCTCGCCATGAAGACGGGTGTGTTATACGTGGGTCTCTTTTCGGAGTATTCGTAGTCCGCAAGAGAAGATAGCGATGTGTCGGGGTGCTTTTCCGTAGCGGAAAAGCAACGGCAACAGGAATGCTAGGATACTGCGCTTGGGACTTTGCTAGACGTAGAAGGAGTGACAGCGGGACGCCGAGGTGCTGACTCTCGTGTGTTTTTAATATGCGCTACTTTTAGCTTCCTTGCTTCTTCCTTTGTTTATTTCTCTTTGTTTGTTTTCCTTAGCCGTCTCAACGAGGTGTCTGGACCTCCGCAACATCTCTGCATGCATCCTTCGAGGAGAACTTCAGGATCTTTTTCGTGTGGTATCCACACGTCAAAGCAACGTCCCAAATAAGAATACTGCTACTAATAATAATACCTGTGGGCTTCACGTCACGCTGTGACGTAGTCGGGGGAGGAAGAGGAGAGAGAGCAAATAGACCTCTTCTTTGTGAAGAACGAAGAACGTACTCGTTGGTCTCCGTTGCAAGAGGGCTTGGCTTGCCACGCTTCTGAGAAAAAAAAAGAAGCAAACAAAGAAGAAAAAAAAAAGAATCAGCGCTGCGTGAATTCCTTTCTGTCGCCTTCCCATCTTTGATAAACGCACCCTCACACGTGCGTGTCTTTCTTATTTATTTTTAGCTCTCGACTCAGAGAATTGAGCTTCGGCGAGAAAGCAACCGTATCAGGCACACATACCCAAACACACACATACGGACCGACCGACGCAGGCATTATGGGTACTAGAGGACGGCGGAGGAAGCTGCGTGAGCGGGAAGCGCAGGCCCGGCAGCAGCAGACCGAGGACGCGCAAAAAGGTTACGGCAGCGATGAAGATGACGACGACGATGCGGACGAAGTGGTGACGATGGGTAACGGACCCTTCCAACCACCCGTCGACGCGATGGGGCGGCTAAAAATGAAAAAGAACGACTTCTTCCGGATGCAGGATGCGGAGGTGTTGGAGCAGATGCAGGAGGAGCACCAGACGCGACGGCAGCAGACGCAGTCCGGCGTCGTGGTGGTGGGTGGGGCCAGCCGCAAACGGGGGCGTCATCGCAGCAGCGGCCGTGCGGAGCCGGAGTCAGCGCAGGACGTCGCGGCGGCGACGGCGCGGGATTACCTCGGCCATGACTACGACCACGCGGACCTTTTCGGCATTTACGGCGGAAACGCGGCCCGGGCGACGCTCTCCTCTTCCTCCTCTTCCTCCGCCTTGCAGGCAAACAAGAGCGAAAAGCGAAGGCGTCCCGGCAAGGATGGCAATGAAGGCAGGGGAGGCGCCGTGCGTGAAGGCGCTGCGACGTCTGTCGACAGCGCGGGTAGCCTTGTGGAGGCGGAGAATGAGCTGCTCGAACAGCGCCGCCGCGCCGCTCACGGTGCGCTCTTCAACCATCCTCTTATTGGGCTTGATGCCGTCGTGGTGGGGGCCCTTCAACAGGAAGGCTTTCACCGCATGACCCGCATTCAGGAGCGAAGTATTCCGTACGCCCTCGAAGGTTACGACTTGCTTGGTCAGGCCTGCACCGGCTCAGGTAAAACACTCGCCTTCTGTGTGCCCCTCTTGCACATGGCGAAGAACACCATTAAGAAGTATCCGCACGCCACCGTCGGTCTCATACTCGCCCCTACGAAGGAGCTGTGTGTGCAGACGCACACCATCCTCACTACTCTGTGCAAGAACATCGCTGCCGTGCCTGCCTCCGACGGCGGCGTCCTCTATCACGTGCAGCTCATCACCGGCGGAACGAAAATGACGGAGGAGCGACGACAGCTCACTTCGGGTGTGTCCTCCATCGTTGTGGGCACACCAGGTCGTATTCATGAGCACGTCGTTCACTGCAAGGGCTGGGATCTCTCCCGGCTGCGGCTTCTCGTGCTGGATGAGGCAGATCGGATGCTGGCAGAAGGCTTCCAGCGTGATTTGGACGCCGTCATCTCCCGCATCCCGAAGGGGCGGCAGACTTTTCTGTTTTCAGCGACGAACTCCAAATCGGTGCGGGAGCTGGCGCGGCTGTCCCTGTCTCGCCTCCCGCTGTTCATCAGCACCTCGGGCAGTGCCCCGTCTGCGGTGGACACGTCAGAGGGAGGGACAGCGGAGGGTAACGTGGCGTCGGCGAAGGCACAGTTGCCGCCGTACCGATTGTTTAACGATCCAGAAAGCGAAGACGAAGCGGAACGCGCGGATACCGCTGGGAATGAGGAGGAAGAGGAAAGGCAGGAGGATGAGCCGTCCGATCGCTACAGTGACGACGCAGAGGGCAAAGACAACGCCATCCCTTCCTCACTCCGGCAGTTTGGCCACATTGTGCCCTCGCAAGACCGTCTGCGTGCCCTCTACACCTTTGTGAAGCAGGTGGCCCGTCGCGCCAAGGCGATGGTCTTCTGCTCCACCGTCGCCAGCGCCACCTTTCACTGCCAAATGATGGGCTCCGTCGGCTTCCACGACGACGTGATGATGCTGCACGGCCACATGAAGCACCGCCAGCGTGTGCAGGCTTTCCAGGTCTTCACGGACTGGAAAACCGGCGTGCTCTTCTGCACGGACGTGGCAGCGCGCGGGCTGGACATCCCGCACGTGTCGTGGATTCTCCAGTACGACCCTCCGCTGGATCCGACGGAGTACATCCACCGCATCGGTCGCACGGCGCGTGCCGGCAGCGTGGGCAACTCCCTTCTCTTCTTAACGCCGGAGGAGGCGCCTTTCCTGCGCTACCTTGCCAGCTTCGACATCCACCTGCAGAAGTACCCGATGCCGGAGAGACTGCCGCGCATTCAGGAGAAGTTTGAGCACGTGCTTCAGCTGGACGAGGTGGTGGCCAAGAGCGCCGTCACGGCGTATCGCGCGCACATCGGGGCCTATCAGAGCCACATTCTGAAGGAGACTTTTGACGTTCACAAGCTCGATTTGGAGGCGCTGTCGAAGGCGTTTGCGCTGACCGCCGTACCCCACGTCACGCTGCCTCGCAACACCGAAGAGGAGAAGCGCAAGGAGTACGTGAAGGGCAAATTGAAGTCACTTAACCGACGCAGGTTGGATGCGCTGCGGCATTACGAGATGAACAAGACGCGGCCGCAGTGGGAGGAGGGTAGCTTTATCGGGGTACGGCGCCCCTCGTTGAATTGAAGAAGGTGCTGACATGCTTCCTCCAACTGGCGAAGGAGAGACCTAGCAAGCTGATACCGGTGTGCCTACACAGCGTGTCTTCGTGTGCCTTTTTGTGTGTTTTTAATAGTTAATTTTTGTTTTCTCTTCTCCGACTAAAACAACGTAAGTTTGTCTTCTTTGGCAATAAATGAAGAAGCCGAAAACTAGAAATCAGTCGAGCAACACCTGCTTTGACCGCAATCTAAGGGAAGACTTTGTATTTCCAGGCTTTGTGCAGGTGATTAACTGGCCAATGAAAACAAGTCGTTCATTGTTGAATTTGTAAGCGAATGCATCACGAAGTGGGTTGGGTTCCAAAGGAAGAAGAATACGGAGGACACGTTCACCATGATAGTTTCATCTGCCTCCCTGATAGTCAAAGCTCCGGTGTCTTTGTGCGTCTGCGTTCTCTTGATCGGACTCCCGCTCTTTGCTGTTCTCTTGCTCTTTTTTTGATCCTCCTTTGCGCCCACGTGGCACAACACACGCCATGCCGGTGATTAGTAGCCGCCGTTTTTGCGAAAGAGCTTCTTTTCCTTTTCGCACTATTCATCAGCCCACTCGCCAGCTCTCACGTGCACGCAACGTGCGAGAAGTGCTGTAAAGAGTGGGCTGCCGTACCTTTATTATTATCATTGAAGGGACGCGCTTCTAAAATCTGCTGAAAGCAGAGCAGCAACACACTGGTGCACGCACCGAGAAGTTGACGACGGTATCGTTTTGTGTTTTCAGCCTCGCGATTATTCGTCGTTGCGTCGACAGGGAGGCTTTACGTGTAGACTCCATACATTTCATAAATATATGTCTAGTACATCTTTTCTCTTTTTCTCTTTCTGTTCTCCCACGATCGATTACGTATATTAATATTCATAACTCTACGAGAGATAAAGCCTCTCGCACTATCATTGTGATTCGTGGAGGCTGTGTGCTGCTTGACGGCTACTCCATTTGCCGCGGATCATCATGTCCACCTCACCCGCCTCCACCTCTCCCGCAGCCGATGACGCACAGAGGCTCAAGGAGGCGCAGCTGAAGATCGGCATGGCGCTGAAAAACGCGCAGTACGCCTTGACAACACACGCCCACCGCGGGTTGGCAGCGGCGCTGCACGAAAACGTCAACGCGCTGACCGCCCTCTCCACGTATCTTTCGCTCTCCGGCAGTCCCGTCAAGGCGGCTGCGATTGCGGGGCAGATGGCGAAGATTCTCAAGTCTGTCGTCACCTACGTCTCGGCCAAGGGAGCGCAACACCGGCTCCTCGCACCACGGCGCGGACAACTCGCGGCACAGCAGCTCACCGACTACACCCACCGGCAGCGTGGTGCTACCCGACGAGACGGGGTTTCCGTCAGGCACGCCGCGCGAGGCAAGCCCGCAGGTAGCGGAGCTTCAGAGGGCGCTCGAGGAGCTCACAAAGCAGCGCGACAACCTGATGGAGGAGAAGCAGGCCCTCGAGGCACAGTTGGAGGAGGCACGTCTGGCCACCGTTTCTAGCTCAGCGGCGAGCGTGACGGCGAGGAGCGACGCCGCAGGCAGCACCGACAACACTGAGGCGATGCTGCGAAAGCTGCGCGCCGAGGTCGATGCGCTCAAGCGCGAGGTGCGGGCAGAGCACATGAAGGCGGCCGCGCTGACTGACCAGCTGCACGAGGCAGAGGAGCAAATCGAGGACAAGGTGGACCAGGTCCACGCCCTCAAGTCGCAGCTGCGCATCTCACAGGAGGAGAAACTCTCGCAGGATGCCGCGTTTTCGAAGAAGGAGGAGGAGATCAAGGCCCTGCAGGAGTCGCTGCTGCAAAACACACGTCAAGCGTCTGCGACGGCCGCGGCAGAGTCTCGCGTTACAGCGCCGCACGGGTACGTAGACAAGGACGACTTTGACGCACTGAAACTGCAGAATCAGCTTCTACAGCAGGCGTTGCGGGAGCAAGCAACCAAGGCACGGCCAACCGACACGCAGAGCGCCATCACCCAGGAATCCCTCGAGGAAATAGAAGCCGATCACCAACAGCAGCTCGAGGCGATGAAGCTCACCATCCAGGAGCAGTTTAACCGCGAGACGGAGCTACTGGAGAAGCAGCGTGGCATGCAAGACACGATTGATGACCTTCAACGGCAGCTGCAGCTGAGCAGCAACCGCCAGTGGGTGCAGCAGGAGCGCGAGAAGCACCTAAACGAGATGGACACCGCGAAGGCGCAGATGGAGGCGCTGCAGGACACAATTGAGAAGCAGGAGAAAGAAATGCACCAGCAAAAGGAGCGCATCGACGAGCTCGAGGACGCAGAGAAGAGCGTTGCGGAAGCAAACAAGAACTTGAAGGTGCACTACGAGACGCAGCTGTCGGAACTCCGGACAGAGCTTCAAAACGCAAAGGATCAAATTGAAGCGTTGACAGCACAGAACGACGCCCTGCGCGAGCAACTGGACAACGAGCGCCAGCAGCACGAGACATATCGAGAACAGACCCAGCGAAGCGACCAGGCGAAGCTGTCGGAGCTGCGGCAGCAACTAGCAGCAGAGCAGGAGCACTGCACGGCAATGGAGGCGACCGCAGCAAAGCGTGATGCCGAGGTGCAGCAGCAAATCGCACAGCTACAGGAAACGGTCGAATCGGAGCGGCGTGCGCACGAGGGGCAGGTGGCTGCGCTTCAACAGGAGCACGACGACAAACTTTCACAACTCCAGAAGAGCCATGTGTCTCAGCTGGCACAGCTGACGCAAGAGGTGGAGGTCGCCCGCGCACAAGCGGCGGACGTGCACGGCAGTGCGACGGAGCGTGACGCAACGGCACAAGAACAGATCGCACGCCTTCAAGAAATGGCTGCAGTGGAGGAGCAAACGCACAAGGCGCAGATGCAAGAGCTGGAGAACACGCACGCAGGTGAAGTAGGGAAGCTGCGGGAGCAGTTGGCTGCGGAGAGTGAACTCGCGAAGGCGGCCGCGGCGACCGCGGCGGAGCGCGATACGACGGCGCAACACAACGCCGAGCAGCTTCAAGCCGCTTTACAGGAAGAAAGCGCAAAGTACAAGGCGCAACTCGAGGACGTCGAGCACATGCTCGAGGCCGAACGTGCGCACGCCGCTGCTGCGGAACAAAATGCTGCGGCACGTGACGCGGCGCTTGCACAGCTGCGCGAGCAAATCGCCGCCGCCACGGAGCAGCACGAGGCCCACCTTGCACAGACACAGCAACTGCACGACGCACAATTGTCACAACTGCAGGAACACCACGAAGCGGAGGTGGCGCAACTCAAGCAACAACTGAATGCGGAGAAGGAGCGGGCGTCCGGCGCGGACCAACGCTGTGCGCAGGTGCAGACAACCTTAGCCGCCGAACGGGATCAACATGCCGTGGAACTCTCGAAGCTGAAACAAGACCACGTGACCCAGCTGGCAGAGGTAGAAGAGCAACTAGAATCTGAGCGTGAGCATGCAGTAGCGGCCAAGAACGAAGCATCCGAGAGCGACGCGGTGGCACAGCAGCACATCGAGCAGCTGCAGCACGCACTGAACGCCGCGCAGGAGCAGCATTCGGCCGAGGTGTTGCAGCTGCAGGAGCGTCACGCAGAGGAGCTTGCGCAAGTGCACCGCGCCGCGGACGAGGAGCAGCAACATCAAGACACGCAAGTCGCGGAACTCAAGAAGAACCACGAGTCGAAGGTGGCGAAGCTCGCGCAGCAGCTCGAAGAGGAGAGGGAGCGTGCAAACTACGCGGAGGGCAGTGCGACAGAACGTGACGCGGGTGCGCAGCAACGCATGGACCAACTTCAGAGCACCATTGACGCGGAACGTGAGAATCACACAGCAGAGCTCGATGAGGTAAAGCAAAGCCACGAGACGGAAGTGGCACAGCTCCGAGAGGAGATCGCTGCTCAGGAGGAGAAGCAGAAATCTCAGCTTGCTGCGCTGCAGAGCCGCCACGATGTCAACATCAAGGAGCTTGAGGAACAGCTGACGGCGGAGCGGGAGCGGGTTACAGCAGCGGAGGCGTCGGCGACGGACGGCAACACCGCAGCTCAGCAGCAGATTGCCCAGTTACAAGAGACAGTGAAATCGGAGCGCCAGCAGCATGAGGCGCAAGTGGCGGAGCTAAAGCACAAGTACGAGACGCAGCTAACGAACCTGCAAGAGCAACTGCATGAAGAACAGGCGGTCGCGAGTGCGGCGGAAAGGAAGGCGGTGGAACACGACAACGTGACAAGGCAGCAACTCCAGCAGTTAGAGGCGAAAGTTGCCGCTGAGATCGCCGAGTTAAATGCGTCCCTAACAGCGGAACGTACGCAGCATGCAGACCGAGTGGCGCAGCTGCAGAAGGATCATGAGTATCAGCTTAAGAAGCTCGCGCAGCAGCTCGAAGAGGAGAGGGAGCGTGCAAACTACGCGGAGGGCAGTGCGACAGAACGTGACGCGGGTGCGCAGCAACGCATGGACCAACTTCAGAGCACCATTGACGCGGAACGTGAGAATCATGCAGCCGCAATTGCCGAGCTGCAGCAAAAGCACACCGCTGCCCTAAGTGAAATGGACCAATCATACAAGGCACAGATTGCGGAGCTCCAACAGGTGGGGGAGGCAGAGCGTCAGCGTGCGACCGCATTAGAAGGCTCCGCAAAAGAGCAAGAGAGCGAAGTGCTTAGGTGCGTGAGAGAACTGCAGGACACCCTCAACAGCGAGCGGGACGAGCACGAGGTGCAGCTCACGGAGTGGAGAGAGAAACTCGCGGCGGAGCACGCACGTGTGGCAGCGGTGGAGGCCAACGTGGCAGAACGCGACGCCGCGGCTCAGCAGCTGCAACGCTCGATCACAACGGAGCGCGAAGAGCACGAAGGGATAGTTTCGGAGTTGCGGCGAAACCACGACAAGGCCCTGGCGGTGCTGAAGCAAACCCATGGCACAGAAATGGCAGAGTTGCAGAAACAGCTGAACGCTGCTCGGGGCCGCGTGGCGGAGGTCGAAAGCGAAGCCTCCGAGCGTGGGGCCGACCTACAGAAGAAGCTGACTGAGCTGCAGGACTCGGCAGCGACGGACCGCGGCTTGCTACAAGGCGAAGTGGCGGAGCTGAGGCAGAAACTGGAGGTGCAGTCGTCTCGGGCCGACGCGGCAGAGGCGGCGATGAAGACGAAAGCGAAGGAAGCTGCCCAGGCGATGAAGGTCGCTGCGGAAGCGCGTGCGGCGGAGGCGGATGCGATGAGAGCGGAGCACGAAGTAGCGATCAAGCGGATGCAGGAGGACACCGCCCTGCAAGTGAAGCGTGTACGGCGGGAGATGGCGGACAAGGTGACGGTGGCCGCCCAACCAGTGGACTGGCTGAAGGACGAAAACGAAGCCTTGAGGAAGCAGTGCCAGGAATGGGAGGAAAAATGCAGGACGGCGACGAAGGAGAAGACGGCAGCGGTGCAGAAGGCGCGGGAGGCGGAGCAGACCCTGACCTCCCGCAAAGCGGAAGTAAAGCGGCTGAGAGAGGAGTGCAACGCGATGCAGGACTCGATGACAAAGTCGCTTGAGGAGAAGGAGGCGGCCATGACGCAGCTGGCGAGCAACGCACAGGCGGCCGAGGAGGCGCGGGACACCGCCGCACGGCTGACGGCCTTGCGGGGGGAGATGCAAGAGCTGCAGCAGCAACTCGAGACCGCAGAGAAGGACAAGGGCCTGCTCGTGGCCCGGTATAAGCGTGCGACGGCGGAGAAGGAGGAGTGCGCGGAGGCGACGAGGAAGTTGCTGACGCAGTACAAGGAAACGGCGGCTGCGCTGGAGAAGCTGAGGGCGCAAAACACAGCCGCAGCGGCGGTGGAAAAGGAAGGGGCGGAGCGTGCGAATCGCCCCCGTGACCTTCCCGCAGAGGTGGAGAGCTCCTTCAACGGCAGCGCAGAACCGTCTTCGAAGAACGGCGCCGTCAACAAGGACCAGGTGAAAAAGATTGAGGACATGGAGAAGCTGGTAGATGCCCTTGTGACGCAGCTGGATGCGGTGAAGAGGGATAACGCACAGCTGCAGAGAGACCTCGCCACAGCGCGGGAAGCAGCGGTCGCTCCCAAAGCCGCGTCGCCGCCGTCGCCCAAGGACGCCCCGGACACGCTGACGTCCCTCGCGGATATGCGCCAGGTGCTGTCTAAGATGCACGCACAGGCCCTCCCTGCATTGAATCGCGTCTACCAACGTGTGCAGACAGCCGCAGCAGCGAATGTGGTGTCGATGAGCCAGTTGGATGCCATGAGGGAGCTCTACGCGGCGATGGAGGAGGCGCATGCGGAGACGCAGGCGACGCTCGCGGACTTCGACGGCGCTGCGCAGCGACTGCGTGTGTCGGCGGAGCTGCAGGGGGTCCTTTACGGAAAGCTGTTATCGTCCCTGCGCTCCACAGAGGCGTCCTCGACGTCGCCGGTGATGGATGTGGCGCTGCTGTGTGCCTGCACCGCACTCTTCACCGAGGTGTGTGCTGGACCGGTGGAGGAGGCCAACGGTAGTCATGTGGCGAACCACGAGCCTTCTCTCCGAATAACTTCACAGCCCACGCGAGCCGAATCGTGCTCCGACCGCCCGTCGCAGAGGTCGCAGCAGGCGTCTCTGCGGTCACCTCCCGCCGTACCCGCCAGCACGGCCACCGTGGATGGCGCGCGCCGCGTGATTCCGCTTCACCAGCGTGACGACGAGCGCGGGGACGGACCGTCGGTCTCATCAGTCGTCACGCCTGCGGGAGAAAGACGGCGAAGTGGTCGCTACGCAGTGCGCGGCAGCCCGCAGCGCGGTGCCTCCTTCGACAACTTTGCTGCCGCGCAGGCGAACATTTCCGCTGCAGAGCAACGTGCTAGCTTACGTCCCGCCCCAACGCCTTCGTGGAGATAAAAAAGAGGAAAATGCTGCACTTTTCTGTCGTGACCTCCGACATCAGCTTCAGCAGCTTTGCTGTCCTTCTTTTTCCGGAGTAGCAGAAAAGGGTTATTCGTTTGGTGCTGTGTGTGTTTACGTGTGCATTGCTACTGCAGAGTGCAGCGCAGCATCCACACGTATACATGCACATTGTTGCGATAGGAATGATTAGGTGATGCAAAAGCTGATCGATTTTTGCTGCTGACGCCTGTGAGATGTGCGTGTGCGTGCATAAAAAGGTGTTTTATTGGTGCCGTAGTTGCGTTGTAAGATTATTATTATTATTTGGCACAGTTTGGACGCGAGTTGCTCTAAATTCTATGTTGACGGCGGGACGCCACCGTTCTTTTGTTGTTCTTGTTGCACGATGATTTCAACTCTATTTTCCAGTTTTATGTGTTCACGCCTCTCTCTACTCCTTTCTTTTTCACTCTTTTTGTTTGCTAGAAAGCTATCGACTGTAATTCTGATTTGCAAATGTGAATAGCACAGAAGGTTGACCGGCGTGTTCCTCATGCACACCGTCGCTGCTCGCAGGGTAACTTATTCTTCTTCGATGCAACCGTTCTTCTCATGCGGAGCAGGTCGCTGTTCCTCCCCAGCTCAGAGGAAACGCAGCTCAACCGTTACGGAGACAAACACCTGCGTGTGCTACGGCGGACCTGTCAAGGCTCCGAAAAGGAGAAATGGATGTCTCGGTTTTTTTTTCTGGCTCACCTCCGAATTCCTCTTTCAAGTAACTCCCCTGGCTTCATCCGATCTTTGATTTCTCTTGCGTGACGGGCCTCCACAAAAGAAGGCGCTAAAGGGGTGTTAGTAGTTGTAGAAGTCGGCCATTGGGGCAGCGTCCACAGCCGCAGAGGAATATCAGCGGGTTTCTGCTGAACCGAACCATATATATATATATATATATTCTCCTTCCAGAAGTTGCCTGCGCAGTATTGCCGCAGACATTCCGTTTTAGCATCATTCCTCTTATTTTGTCTAGCTTTCACTTTCTATGTATTCGGAGCTCTTCTGCCGCTCGTTAATTTCTCGCTTTGGAATTCATTGTGTCGCTTGACACGATCTTCACATTTTTACAAGTAGTGATATCGTCGTTGTTCGTCTACATTTCTGGTTTTGTGTGTCCGGTCGTCACCTATCTTCAACTGTCAAGTACCCGCTGGTTTCACTGGAGTCTCTGAGGAGCAACTCTGCTTTCTCTACAGGCGTCGTGCGCTTAGCGCGTGGGTGTTTTTGCCTTTTGTTTTCTTCTCCGGCTTTAGCGTTGAAGTCATGCCTGCCCTCGTGCCGAGCGATGCCGTCACGCTGCTGTACCGACGCTACCTCAAGGCTGCCAACCGCATCCCCAATGTCACCATCCGCATGCTTCTGCTGCAGCAGATCCGTTCCGGGTTTCGACGGAATCGCGCCATCTCGAGCGCGTCGGCGCAGCGAGAGCTGATCAACCAAGCGCACAAGGATTTAGCCGTGCTGGAGGACGACCGGCTGTCCCGCACGCTCTACATCAATCGGCTCGGTTTGGTGTCCTGCCTGGACTGGGAGGTGCGGCGCACGGAGTACAACTTTCGTCCTGAGACGCAGTCCTATCTGGCGGCATGGCTCCTCGGCGGGTTTCTATTTCTTCTCATGATTGTTTTGCACACGGAGCGCATTGAGAAGCAGCGGCCCGATATTGCGCAGATGGTGGACTACATGGCCATGCGATTAGAGGCGGACTCGCCAGAAGAGCTGCGGGAGCTCCGCGACCGGCAGATGCGCGACTCCCTCGATCAACGTCAGTTCCAAGTGTCGTTGGAACAACGTATATTGATGACCTTTCACGACGCACCCAACGCTCCCGCACCATCGTTGCGGAATCCCGATGGCTCATTGCGTTACGCGCAGCACAGCTGAGGTTGGCGTGCGGCTTGCATCCGGTATGTCTTGCTCTCTATTGTTGTTTGTTCTCGTTGCTGAGAAACAAAGGAGCAGAAGAGCGCAGACTTTGTGATGTTGCCCTTCAGTGCGCGGGGTGTCCTTTCTCGACGCCTCTCCTTTCTTGTTGAGGAGACTGTTTGGATGCGCTCTCAGGTCTGCTGTAAGTGGGTTTTTTTTCTAGCTGAATTCAAGCGTGCGTGCTTGAAAAACCTCGCTCCATTTTATCAGCCTTCAGCTTTGCTCGCTTCACTTTGGTTGCGACTGTTCGTCGTTTACATGTCCTTCACCTATCTTGCCTACCGAATTCTGTAAGACCATTTTTTGGCTTATTCAAACCCTTTCAACGTTCAATAGTTAACGTTCCTTAGTGGAAGGTGTACGACCATGAATGGGTATTCGAGCAGTCGCTCTCCACTGTGTGTAGTTGTGCTCGACAGTGGCGTCTTCAAACATCTCGTGTTGCGTGGTGTTTGTCTTCTTGTGTGGTCTCCTTCTTTCTTATTATCATTAGTGCACCTCGTACCCCTCCCCCCTCCTCGTCTCTCGCTTGTTTGCCACCTTTATAGATCCAGCTTTCATTAACGGCGTTACCTGCTCACAGAGGGGTCGATACCATAGAGGTGACATTGAAGGAGGTTTTCTCTCTCTCTCTCTCTGTGTGTGTGTGTGTGTGTGTGTGTGGATGTGTCACAGCTAATAATATCGACGTGTTGGTGTGTCTCGATATCCGTGGCTGCTGTGCGCACATTCTCCGTCCAACTAAAAGAAGGTAATCAACAACGAGCTAATTAGTGCAGCGCGATTTTAAAGAAAGGAAAGCCGCAGCAGTGTAGTACTGATACCGGCATAACCTTTGTTTTTTTGGATTAGCTCACACAGCTCTTATAACGGGGCATACCCCACCAAAGTCGTCCCGGAGAAAACAGCAGCAGCAACAACACCAAAAATCAGCAGCAGAGGAGAAAAGATGGACTTCGGGTATGACGAGAATGGCAACCGCACCACCGCGGACCGTGACGCTGACAGCAACGAGGAGAACGCGCAGGCGCAATCCGCGCACGACTCCGACAACGGGGTCACCCCGCAGCCGTACGGAGCGGAGGAAGACACTGATCATCGTCACAACCACCAACGTCCACAGCAGAACGGTGACACCGACTCCAGCTCCGACTTCAGCGATGATGTTGAGCTCATTATCGGCGAAGAAGGCACGCAGGCGCTGCACCAGCCGCTGGTAGACCAGAATGAAGTGGTGCAGCCGTCTGGCCTGCGCAACGCAAACCGCAAAGAAGCGGGATTCCTCTTAGAGAACCGCCATGCCGGAAAGGACGGCGCTGCCACCGCGTCATCGGCGTCGCCGCTGCTCATCGAAGGCGGTCGACGGCCGACCTCAACGCAGCAGACGTACATGGACGTCTTGGCCTCCCTCCCGGACCGCATGCGTAACTTCGTCCTTGTCGGCTCTCTTCACCACGGCAAGACCTCGTTGGTGGAGATCCTTCTCGCGGAGAAGCCCTACCACAAACGGAAAGATGAGGAGGATCGTGAAATGACGCTGAAGAGTCACGTCATCACTACCGTCGCGGGTGGCGCCGCTTTGCAGCCGACGTCGCGGCAGCTCACGATCATCGACACGCCGGGACATCCCGATTTAATCGGGGAAGCCGCGGCGGGCATGCGGCTGGCGGACGCTGTCCTCTTCTGTGTCGATGCGGCAGAGTCACTCAGCGATCACGGCGCGCAGCTGCTCCGCCACGCCGTGGTGCAGGAACAACTGCCGGTGGTCCTCGTACTCACCAAAGTGGACCGCCTCATGGTGGACCTGAAGCTGCCCCCGTTGGATGCGTATCGAAAGCTGCGCATGGTCGTGGACACGGTGAACAACGTTATTGCCAGCTGCGGCACCACCTACGACGCCTACCTCGTCTCGCCTGAGCGCGGCACCGTCTGCTTCGCCTCTGCCAGGTTGGGCCTCTTCCTTTCCCTCGAAACGTTTGCTCTGAAGTACGCCGCCGTCTTCCCTGGCCTCAACGCGGCCGCCCTCGCCACGAAGTTCTGGGGCCAGATCACGTACGAGAAGAAGACCTTTCGCAAGATTACGACTTTCAGACAGAGGCCCAGCTTCGTGCAGTTCGTGCTGGAGCCGCTGTACAAAATTGTTGCCCACGCGGTGACGGGCGACGGAGGCGAGACCTTGTCCAGCAGCTTGACAGCGCTGCCGCGATCACCCCTGTCGGCCACGCAAGAGGCAATTCGGCATTTCTGTGGCGCGCCGACCGGCGACTCCCTCGACGCGCTCCTCAGCGTGCTGCCGCCACCGATGGCGCGATCGCAGTGGCTGGCGGAGCGCTACGGTGCCGGGGCCTTGTGTGCTTCCTCTTCCGACGAAACAGCATCAGCGGCGCACTCGCACCCTCCTGCGGACGATTTAGTCATTGCGGTGGCATCGCTGCAGCGCGTCTTCGACACGAAGAGCACTCTTGCGGCGGTGGTGCGTGTGGCGCACGGTACCCTGGTGTCGAACAGCCGGCCGAGCAATCACCCGTCTGCCTCGACAGCCGACAAGAGCCGCCAGCGACTCATCGCGTTTGACGAGTTCAGCAGCGACGCCGACCCGTACTACGAGGTGGAGGTGCAAGAGATCTTTCTACGCACCGTGGAGGACGGCTTTCTCCCCGTGCAGCGCGCCACTGCCGGGCAGACCGTCTACGTCACCGGCCTTCCAGCTCGCGCAGGATCGCACTTTGTGTTGGTCGGCGGTCGTGCAGCGGCGACGGTGCTGGCAGAAGACGAAGGCGCCGCTGGGCCGATTGCGTCATCCTCCTCTTTCGCCGCCCCGCTGATCTCGTCGGAGTGGGTGGAGCAGGTGAAGGTGTACCCTCTGGGCGTGGCGCCGCCGCTGCTGCACGTCGCCGTCGAGGTGCGCGACCCCGCCAAGGCAGTCAGCGTGCAGGACGGTCTCCACGTGCTTCTGCGGACGTCCCCCGGGTTGGACGTGCGTAAAGAAGAGACGGGCGAGTACACGGTGAGTGGGTTTGGTGAGTTGCAGCTGGACACCGCCCTGCACGAGTTGCGGCACGGCCTGTGCGCCGGTGCGCCGGTGGGCATCTCGCAGCCGTTCGTTACGTTTTCGGAAACGGTGAACGACGCGGCGGGTTTGCTGGCGATGACCGGGACACGGAATAATTCGATTGGCTTTGTGAGCGGCACGCTGCCGCGTTCGTTTACGCAGGCCGTCGAGTACAAGCAGCTCGACTTGTTTCCTCCGTCGGTGGAGGGGGAGAGCGGTGCCGGACAGCGGCAGACGCGGAAGCTGTGGACTGTGCTACGCAACGACTACGGCTTTGACGCGCTGGACGCGCAGCACATTCTCGCCGCAGGCCCCGATGCCACGAAAGGTCCGAGCATTCTCATAGACGACACCCTGCCAGAGGAGACCCACCACGCTTTCAAGGACGCACATCAGCGCGCCATCATTTCCGCCTTCCGCACCACGATGGCCGCCGGACCTCTCGTCGGCGAGGTGGTGCGCGGTGTTGGGGCGAAGCTGATCTTCGCGGACATCGACGCCTCGACCAGAGACGCGGTGGTGCTGTCGAATTCGCGCACGGCGCTGCGCCACGCCCTCTTCGGTGCCCGACCTCGTCTGATGGAGCCGGTGCTGGCGGCTGAGATCTTGTGCGCGCCGGAGTGCGTGCCGCAGCTCGGAGAAATCTTGCAGCAGCGGCGGGGCGCGTTGCTGGGCGAGGAGCTCGTCGCCGCCACGACGCTGGTGCGTGCCCGTGCCCTGGTGCCGGCCATGGACAGCTTTGGATTAGAGACGCAGATCCGCATGCTGACTCACGGACAGGCGTTCCCGCTGTTCCGTTTTCATCAGTGGGATGTCGTGCCAGGCGATCCGTTTGACGCGAGTATCCACGTCGGACCGCTCGAGCCCGCGAGGAGCTATCAGCTGGCCCGCGATTTTGTGTTGAAGACGCGGTTCCGCAAAGGTTTGCCGCTGAACATGCTCTCCGATCTCTAAAAAAAGAAATCGGCATTCCAGGCACGACTTGCTATTTGATTTCCCAGAGAGCTCCGTTAAAGCTTTTAGTTTCTTTTTCTGTCGACTAAATCGGTACATCAGTATTCTCTCTCTATTGTAATCATAATGAACGAGTTAACGATGTGCAAGATTTTTTTCCAGAGCAGTAGAGAAAAAGGGCGTAGATCCTTGTGCTCAGCAGTTGGTGCACGTCAGGAGACCTCGTTGTACGCGAGCTGTGGTCCATGCTAGAGCTGCGACGACGGGCATGGTAGCGGGCTGCGGGCCGAGACATCGCTTTCGAAGTCGTACTGCTCTACCCTCTTTTTTTCTTCTTGAGAAAACATAATGCGAGATGTACCGAAGTGATGAAGACCTCTATTCGGGGCACCTCAGCAACATCCACAGCCGCCTTCTCGATTCTCTTATGCGACAATTTCATGCTCCAATGTCGCACGTACACACACACACACACACACCTATCTGTCGCCCTCTTTCCTCTCGCTCTTCCCTCCTTTCTTTCCTCTTCCTCTTCACCTTTCTGCTCGTTTCAACTGTCTGCGCTGCCTTCAGTGTTGCGCTAGCACATCAGCGCTTGAAGAAGGAAACACAAAAGCATCACCATTGTAATTGTAGTGCCCCCCCCCCCCTCTCCTTCCTTTTCCCATAAAGATACCTGGCCCGCAACAGGTGGAAGCTTCGTGCTTGTACTCGAACACTTCCCTCCACAATACAATTATTCCAGTGCCGCCTCCCACCAGTTGATGATTATTCAATTATCACCGCTGCTTTTCTTCTTTGCTGCTGCTGTTATGCTTCATTCGAATTTCGATCGGTTGTACTCGCCTTCGTCTTTAAAAAGCAGTTTCTTCCGGCACACAAAATCCCACATCGAAACACCTCCAAATGGGGTGCGAGAACTCGAAAATCAAGAAGAAGCCGAAAGATCGGGACACCCTCTCGCGGGAAGGCGCGCGCCAAACAGCGAAGGAGCGGCAGGCAGCAGCGGAGCAGGCAAGGGACAATACGGACCTGACATCGCCTCCCGTTAACAAAAACTCAGAAGCCCTCGAGGTTCCAGTGCCGAATCAGGCAGGCAGGGGTTCGGTGGTGGCGTCGCCTCCCGAGAAGCCGTTAGAAGAGGCTGTCCAGACCACCACACTACCGGAAGATGCGCCACCTCCATTAAAGAGGAACGAAGCGAAGAAGATACCTGGCTACCGAGCGTCAAGCGACAGCATCGAAAGCGTAGACAGCGAGAGCGACAAGAGGACGGCGACAAGTTCATCGCAGGCGCAAGGGCGTCAGCACAAGAAGAATAAGAAGGACCACAGCGGTGCGAAAGCGAAGAAGAAGGACAGGAAGAAGCATCGTCGCTCAAAGGTTAGTTCCTCTTCCGAGGATGAGGTGAAATCTGGCAGTCGTAAGGGCCGCTTTGACGAGTATAGCCTGAGTGCCTCCTCGAAGGAATGCGACGCGAAGCGGCAAGGCTCGACCACTTTAGAAAAAGACCCGCTAGCGAGTGCACGAGGTCGTTCGCACTCCCGCCCTGCCAGCACCTTCGGCAGCGGCCGATCGATTGAGTTCGAAAGCGACGCCGTTTCGCGCGTGGTGTCTGCAGCGCCGTTGCCGAATGCCGATGGCAGCGCTGTCATCGCCTCCGGCCCTCCTCGCGCCTCCTTCCACGCTATGCCGGAAGACAGTACCGTCATCACACCAGAGAACGTGAACGACACAGAGGCGGCACGGAACAGGCCGTCGCTGGTCGACGATGGACACGCGCCATTATTCCCCTCGCCCGCCTTCGGTGCAGCGTTCTCTGCTGCAGATACCGGTCGAGTCGCGTACGAGCCCTACAACGACTTCGGCCCCCGTGAAGTCGATGACCAGCTGCCCCCCTACGAGTGGGTCCTTCGCACGATGCCGGTTCCCTCTCCGCTGCGGCAGAGCGACGACGTCGAGGCAGACCGCGAAGTTGGTGGGATAGCGTACTTCAACTCCGCGCCTTCAGCCGGTGTGGCGCCACCTTCACGTTGCGACGATGCTGATGCCGCGCCGTCCGTGCACTTCTACAATCCTGCGCTGGACGATTACGAGAACGGTCTGCCGCCGCTGGTGCCACGCACGTTTTATCCTCGCCTGCCCCCTGTGCAGTGGGCTTCCCATTCTGTGCCACCACCTTCTCAGCCCTCTTACGAGGAGGAGGAAGCTGCGCCAGACAGCGTCGAGGAAGATACCGGCGATGACACGCCTGCACTTTACTCGCCTGCAGATACACGGCACAATCAGTTCGGTAGAGAGTCGTGGAGGCCGGCCTCTCCGTCGTTGGTTGACGCCTACGTATCGGACGACGACGTCGAGGGCCAACGGCGCCACCACCGCAGCAGCCGCGCAGGCTACGACGACGACAACAGCGCACCTCCTCCGTCTTCGTACTATCCCCCGCCGAGGATATCGATCCTGCCCTCTCCTTACGCATACGGCCCATCTCCGATGGTATCTGCCGCCTCCGTCGTCTCTGCGGATGAAAACAGAGACGGCAATTCGTATGCGGGGCGGCCACGCAGCACTCATGTTGCACAGGGAGGAGTGAATGCACACCAATACAAGCCCGTCACCTACTTGTTTGACAACTCCATGGACAACTGGCTACAAACACGGCAAGCAGCTGCCCCCCAGCGGGAGCTTTACGCCAATGCAGCGGACTTGTGGTAACAGTAAACAGCCCGAGGCACTTCCGCCACTTTCAGAAGGCGCTTTTGATTTCACAGCTTTTTTTCTTCGTGTGTGTGCGTGTAGTAATGTTAGATGTCAGTGGAGACAAGGGCTGCCACTCTGCCGTGTTGATATAAACGGTTTCTGTTGCTGGTTCATATATTTGTATTGTGTGTGTGTGGCAGATGTGGGGGCGGGGCTGCCGTTTTTGTTGTTGTTTGCTCTAGATTTCTTAGGAAAAGCTTTTCCTCGTAGACCATCCATTAGCGGTAAACCTGCTCGCTCTTCTGACCCCCTCCCCCTCCTCCCTTCTACCTTTTTTTTTCTTCTTGTAGACTGTACTACGTATTCTTTCCTCTTCTTGGCCACGCAAGCCCACTTCTTCGGTGATGGCGGATTCAATGGACGAAACAGCGGCAACAACACCCCAAAAAAGAAAAGCAGAATGCGAAGCTTATAACATCGAATGCACTTCCCTTTTTCTAGAAGTATCGGCCAATGTGCGTAGCGCCTCCATCGCCTCTTCTTCTTTTCTTTTTTCTCTCTGGCCCATCATTGACGAGTGTGACGCGAACCGATTTCATCGCTAAGGAGGTCTCTACAACATATGCGCTTTCAGCCGACGGGGTTCGCTGCTTTGAGAAAAGCTGCCCTCCCTATGGCTTCCTTTTCAAACTATACTGACCTTCTTCTTTTCTCCCTTCTTTCGCCTGCTTCTGTCTGCCATCCGGTGGCGCAAGTCATCAAGTTCGCTTGCACGTGCGCTCGTGTTTGTTTTAGTTTCCATCCGCAAAAGATCCTCTCACTCCCCTCTTTCGCTTTTTTTTTTCTTCTTGATCTCCAAGATGACCCGTGACGACGGCTCTCAGGTGGCTCAGCTGCTGAGCGACGGCAAGTACAACCTTCCGATGTTCCTGCACTACCTGAAATCCTTTGCGACCTGCGGCGAGCAGCCCGACAAGTCTCTTCTGCTCGGCATCCTCCTGCAGTCTCTCGCCCGCTTCCAGACGAGCGACTTCACCGCGTGCATGTGCCTCGTCTCGAGCCACGTGCAGGACTCCCCCAGCGTCGACAAGGAGCTCAACTACATCTACGAGCTGGAGAACCTGCTTAGCTGCGGTCTCTTTCAGAAGTTCTGGGCTCAGTGGAGCTCCGTCAAGGAGCACCTGCCTGAATCCTTCCACTTTGAGTCTCGCGTGCGCACCAGCATCTTAGAGACCATCAGCACGACGATGGAGACAATCCCCACAGAGAAGCTAGCCACCTACCTCGCCGTGTCGCCGGACCAGGTGCAGAAGATCGTGCAGAACGCCATCAAGGAGTCTGAGGACCGTGAGATGAAGGTGATTTCGTACGACAGCGGCAGCGTCGTTTTCCAGCGCAACCGCTTCAACTTCCCGCAGGCGAGCGCCGCGCACGATGTGATTCGCTTCACCGACGTGTCGGCGTTAATCCACAACGCGCACGTGCAGTACGGTAACAAGGACAACCGCAGCGAGAATAACAAGGACGGCAACAAGGAGCGCGAGTCCCGTGTGTAGTACAATAGTGCGGCGTAACTCCCTGTTGTGTGCGTGCTCAACGAAGTGGCAGCGGTTTGCAGATCATATGTCAGGTATGAAGAAGAAGTGACGTTGACTCATACCGGGTGGGGAGGCGATCGAAAGGGGAAGAAGAAGAAAAAGCAATGCACGGGATCGTTGCCGAGGAATTCCTTTTCGTTTCTTTTCCAGCGCTCTCGTGACCCCTAAGGTGGTGGTTCGGTGTGATGAGACCACAATAGACTGACCTCTCTTGGTCTGAGGCGCACTTCGGTTTGTTGTGTTTCGGCTTTTTTTTGGCTTTCTGTTGAGCGGATTCGTTTGGTGTGATTCTTCTTTACCTGAATCTGTGCAGTTGGGGAGCACCGATGCGGAAACCGCAGTTGGTAGGCTCCACAAATATGACTTCTCAGGTAAGAAGTAATGCTTTGGTTTATATATATATATTTGGTGTGTGAGTGTGTGAGTGTGTGTGTGGATGAGGACCAGCATGAAATTGCGCTGTTGCGCGACGAAGGAAAGCAACACCAATCGATGCCGCTGTGGATCTATCACACCGTCGTTGGAGTTCACTTGTCTGTGCTTTGGAGTTGTTAAGGCTTTTCTTAAAACGTTGTTTATGGACGTAATAAACTATGGACTCATAACTGTAAAAGAGAAAAGGAAATCAAAAAAAACTTATTTGACGTTGTGTATACGGCACGAAGGGGCAAACTGCAACTACGCCGCTGTGCTCCTTGTCGTTCCCCTCCCTTTGTTCCTCATACAAAAAGAACGGCTCGCCGATACATACTTTTCTCTCGCGTGTTCGAGTCAGTGCGTTTAAACGACGCGCCTGCGTGACCTCTTTCATGTGCACTTTATTCAAAGGCACGTGTTGGTAGGGGCTGACGTACCCGACGAAGGCGGCAACATAATTGGGTGTGCAGTTTTTCTTTCTGCTGCTGAAGGGACAGCGGCGCGCGTGCAACGCATCACATGACGTACGCAAAGAAGACGGTAGTCATGCACGAGCGGCGTCGTGCTGCGTTCCTCAACTTTTTTTTCTTCACTCTCCCCTTCTCTTGCTGGTTGCTAACGTCTTCTCCTGAGTTGAACTTTGGAATCGCTGCTCTCATCGTTCTCTAAGACGTACCTTTTTTCTTCTTCTCTCTCTCTCTGTGTTGCCTCGCTTAAATCCGAAGACCTGTTTAGGTGGAAGCTGCACTGACGAATCCGAGCCTCTTCAGAGTAAGAGGCGCTACGCAGCTGCGCAAGGAAAAGCTGTTGCGGAGGCGGCCACAACCTTTTAGCTACCCTGCTTCGGACGGGGCTGTCCGGTTCATCGCGCACTCCCCCCAAACACATTCCTACACTGGCGGGAATTCACTCTTGACTCTGCTCAGACGACGAGTGGCCTTTCCTCAGCATGTATCCCTCTGCTGCCAAACGTGGGAATGGCCGCCAGGCTCGTTTTGACGACGCACACCCCGCACAATGCACGTTTTACTGGCACGCCCACGCGAATGCGTCGGAGCTTGTGGTGTCCCATCAAAGGCCGGCGACGGTGCTAGACATGCTCTTCTCCGTGTACTGCCACACACAGTGCTGCCCTCCAGATATGCAGCGCTCATACACCGCGTGTAATGGAGAAAGCGCGTTCGCACAGAGTGACGCGACGGCGGTGCAGAGTCAGCGAGAGGAGTACAGCTGTGTCGAAATCGAAAAGACTCGAGCGCCGTCTCAAGCAGATGCTGCCAGACACGGGTTTTCTGTGCTTCACCGCACGATAACGCCAGATGTCGCAGACGGCATTTTGAATTCTTCTTCTTCTTCTGCTTGTTCTGGAGAGGAAACCACACGTGCCAATGGACGCCGCGGAACGGAGCGCTGGAGGCTGCCGGACTTGTCCGCACAGAACTCTGCCGAGGCGCCTCCACAGCAACTCACTGGAAAGCAGCGGCAGACTCTCACCAAGTTAAACTTGCTGACGCTTCCAATTGGGGGATACATCTCCATGTTCTCGTCCAAGGCCGAGTACACGCGATTCACGCGGTGTTATCGCACCAGCCTTATCAACGTTGCAGACGTTCTCGAGTGCTGGATGACTTTGGTGCGATGCGTCAGCCGGTGGATTTTGAGTTCCAGACGATCAAAAGAGCCACCGCAAATGCAGGAACCAGCGACGACGGACAGGGATGCCGGCACGTCTGCCGTGCCGAGTGACGCAGCGAAGTTTGATTTCATTTCCCGTTGCTTTCCAGCTGCTTGGGCGGACTCTGCACGATCAACGCGTGCTGATGCGGGCGCGACGTGCCCCACGCCCGCAGCATTGGACATCTCCGGTGTATATGTCCATCGCACAAGCACCTCCGACTATGAACTGGGCATCGTTACCGGCGGTGCGCAACCATGCCATGAGAGCGCGAAGATTGTGGCCTACTTCGCTCCACTGCTTGGGGTACCCCTATCCTTTGTGCATACCTCGCTGCCCATCGGTGCTGCGTTGCGTGGCGTGTCGCTGAAGCATTGGTGGACACCGCAGGAAAGCCGCGTTACACCTGGCACCTGTCTCGCACCCATCCAGATTGTCTTGGACGAACTCTGCCGCGACGACGACACCTGTCCACGCACCACGCTGGCTCGAGACGTGGGACACGACGGAGACACCAGCAGCAGCAGCACCCGAGAGAGACGCTGTTTCTTCTGCGGCTACGAGGCCGTTTCCTGGTTCCTGACGCGTCCCGTTTGTTCGCAGTTGCACGGCACGTGCAAGGTCACCCTCCCGCACACGCCGGCTTCCTGTGCGGTGTACACGAAGGAGACTACACCCGTGCGGAGGCGAGAGGAAGGGCCCGTCTTTGGCACGCACCCAGCTCCCTCGCCACACGTTGCGAGTGCACCTCCGCTGCCGTTGGGATCGGTGAACGTGATGCGGCTCTCCTCCGGGATCATACGCGCCTCCATCTGGTTTACCGACCTCTGCGTGACGGCCACAGGGGAGCACATGCTGGCGGTGGAGGTGCGTCCGGCAGCGGCCTTCCGACCGTTTGTTGCGACGCTCTGCGACTACGTAACTCCTTTTCTTGTGGTGCCAGCTACCGAGGGACGTTGACGGTCATGGCGACAGTATGATTGCTGTTGGTATTGTATTGTTTTTTTTTTTCTTCCTCTGCTACTGCTTCAGCTTGCTGTGATCGAGAAGCGAGCGCTTTGCTGCTGCATTCTTTTGCTGCTTGCCTAACCAAGGAAAATAGAATAAAAAAAGGAATTAAAGTAGCCGCGCATTCGCTGTCGACGAGAGGCAATTTTGCCTGCGAATCGAGAGAAAACGCTCGGCCGAAACTGACAACGTCGCACATGACTACCACAAGTGTAGGTTTGCCGTTCCCACTGTGAAGCTGTTCTCGGCAAACGGACAGGTGCTTGGGTATCTCGACGGATGGCGAGGCGCTTTGTTCGATCAACAACAAAGCAGTCGCTGACTGGCCGCGCCCCCCTTTTTTTTTTGCACCGCTGACCTCTCGCTGTCGAATAGCTTCGCATCTCCTCGTGCCTCTTAAGTCTGCTTCAGCGCTTTTACTTTGCCTTGGTGCCATCCCTCGCCGTCTGTAATACACGGCGGTACCCTTGAAAGCCCCATCAAACACTTTAATATATATATATTACTATTTGGTTTCCCCGTGTCATTGAAGGGAAATAACGCCGTGCAGATCAAAACGAGGCGCAAAGCGGCACGCTTCCTTTTCCCTCTTTTTCTTGCGTTTTCAGCACAACGTGGTGCCGTGGCCGTATAGTGAAGAACCACTACCATTAAATAAAGTAGCATCGCACCGTCGTCATGGACGGCATCTTCCAGCAAATTATGGACCTCGGCGAGGAGAACGTGTCCGATGTGCCTACCACCTCTGCCTTCGCCTCCACCGACTTCGTCTCCGCTTTTTCGGGTGTGATGTCGAATGCGTTCTCCAGTAACGCGAAGCGCAGCACCGATGCCGATGCCTCAGCAACACCCGCAAAAGCAACGGAGAGTCGTGAGTTGCACGCCCCTCTCCACCTCCACCACCTTAAAAGAAAGCGCCGCAACGCACTCCGCGGAAGCGAGTCGTCTAATCCCCGCGGCTACCACCAGCGAAGACGCGTCCACCCTTCAGCTGCGGCATAGCCTGCAACTTCAAAAGAAGCGGTACGACGAGCTGCTCGCGGACTCGCACAAGCTGCGATCCGAATATGACGCTTACCAGCTACGCATGGAGCACGTCGCGCGTCAGTACAAACAGCAAGCGCTGCAAGACAAACACATGCTGGAGGAGCTGCGGCTTACTGGGACAGCCGGGTCGTTGGACGAGGTTTACGTCACCGGACTGAAGCGGCAAATCGGGGAGCTGCAGAAGAAGCTGACGGAGTCGATGGCCGCTGCGGAGAAGGCGTATCAGCGGCAGCGCGAGGCGGAGGAGGCGCGAATGGCGACAGAGAAGTCGAAGCGAGAGGATTTGGCGGCGCTCGCTTCGCAGATTGCGCACTTCGGCCGAGCATCGTCGACGCCCATCGCGGAGTCCGCCGGCAGCCCCGATGCGGGCGAACAGAAGGAGGGCAAAGAGGACGAGGAAAGCGTAGAAATCGATGAAAAGAAAGCGGCACCTGTTGAGAATGTCGATGTAAACGCGCGGCTTCTGCAGGCACAGGCGCAGCTGGCCGTTCGCCAGGCCGAAGTCGACGAGCTTCGCACGCAACTGCAACTGCGCGACTCCGCCCATCAACAGCAGTCGGAGGAGCACACGCAGGATCTGCAGACGCTGCGGATGGAGGTGGAGCAGTTCAAGGAGCATGAGTCGGCGTTGAAGGCGTCCCACATGGCTGACCTCAAGAAGGAGGCGGCCGAGTTTGCGGAAAAGGAAGCCGCGCTGCGGCGCGAGGTAGAGACGGCCCGCGCGCAAGTGCAAAAGGCGTCCATGGAGCAGTCCTCCCAGCGTGTCGCGAAGGAGTTGCTCGAGACGCAGGAACGGGAGCAGGAAGAGCGCATGCAAGCGAAGGACCGTGAACTGCAATCTGCTCGCGCGTCTCTGCAGTCTGTTCAGGCAGCCATGGAGGCCGCGCACGGGGAGCTGCGTGAGATGGAGATGACGCTACACGACGCGCAAACCGAAAACCGGCAGCTGCAGGCCAAGGTGGACCAGACAAGTGCGGAGCTGCTGCGCAGTGAGCAGCTACTCGCCTCGCGCGAGGACGACCTGCTCGACGCGGAGAAGGAGCGGCAGAGGCTTCGCGCGATGCTGCGGCGGGAGGAGGAAGAGACGCTCCGCGTACAACAGCAGCTCACGCAGCTGCAACGCAGCGAAGCCGAACGCGGCTTAGGAACGGCGGCAGCAGCTGCCACTGCGGCCCAGCTGTTCGCCCACAACGAAGCCGCCGGCGACGGCACGGGCGGCGAGGGCGAAGACGACGCGGCGCAGCTGTCCTCTGTGGTGGCCACGCAGCGACAAACAATACAAAGCCTGCACAGTCGCATTGAAGTTTTAGAGAACGAGCTCACCGCCCGTGAAGTGGCCCTGCGTCGTCAGCAGGCGCAGGCACAGGAAATCAGCGCGGCGCGCATCGAGTTTATGAAGGCCAAGGAAGAGGCAAACACGCGTGTGGCGCAGTACAAGGACAGAATCGAGAGACTAGAAAATGATTTGGCGGCTGCACGGCGCAGCGGGGCGACTGCGGTCTCCGTTTTCGGCATGGAGGACGGGCGTACTACACCCCAGGCCCAATTCCTTACTTCCTCGATGGAGCGACACCATTTTTTGATGGAGGCGAAGCGCTCCGCGGACTCGTACCGCATCTCCCGCGTGCGACAAATGCGCTTGGCCTTCTTTTCAGTTCTGTCTTTGGTGGTGGGGATGACTCTTTATGCCACCTTCGCGTTGGCTCCTCCGCCGGCAGAAAAGCAATAGAAGGGGGAGGGGGATACGCACGTGGGCACAGCTTCAAGGCGTTGAGATGACGAAGGTTAGTGGTATTTTTTTTTCTCTTTCTGTTAAGCTTGAGCTGCTATTCAGAACACTTTGGTGTTGCTGTTGTTTTTTCTACTCGCGTATCTTCGTCGCTCTTTCATCGCTAATGCTCTTATGCTCCTCCGCCGTCGGCCTTTGTGTGCTGCTTGGGAGCGGCAAATCATGAAGAAAGCCACCACCCTCAACTCAACGAGAGGGAAACCACTTTTGCGGTTTCCTTATCCGTGCCGTACGCATCTGTCATCCTGACCGCTCTCCACAACGTCTGTGCGTGGAAGCTTGGAAAACATGAAAGGCAGCGTTTTGTTAGCCACCGCGTTCATCATTTCTCCAAAAAGAAGAAAGGAAAAGAAAACTGTTTCGTTGTTGTTGCGCCTGTCTCTCCATTCTCACCTACACCTTGTACCCGCTTTGAAACACGGTTCTTGAGCGCAAAAGCAGCTTTTGGTGTTTTTCCCCCCTCAAACTTTGATCCCTCCGCTTCGTTCGCAAAAAAAAAGCGGCATCTTTGCCTGTTCACATCACTGTCGTTTAGCCGCAGATTCTTCTGTTTTCCATTTTTCTTCTTTTCTCCATACAACTTCCGCTGTTAAAGCGCAACGACAGCGGCCAGGGAAGCACGGCATTCGACAAGGAATTGAAATTCTCTGTCCTCTCTTTTTACTTTTCCTGTCCTGCGTGCGGCTAGCCCGTTTTTTTGCACGGTTTTATTACTATTGGCGTTCTCCCACCTTCTGATTGGCGCCGCTTTCATTGAAACTGTTTCTATTATAATAATTATTTGTGTAAGCAGTGTTTTCTTTTACCTTTGTTTTCCGTCGTTCATTTGCGCACCTCTGAGTCTATCGCCTTATCTATATTTATTTATGTTTACATGCGCTTCTTACGTAGCTCTTCTATACGCAATCGGTCATATTCATCCATCGCTTTTCTTTCCTTCATTTGTTTCATCGCTCGTCAAAAGGAAAAATAAACCCCGTGCTCCCCATAGCACAAACGCACTATACACACACACACACACACGCAACAAAAATGTTTGGCCGGACCGCACAGACGCAGGAAGGGGACGCAGCCAGCGGCAAGGTCTACCCCTTCCGCGTAAGTGGCAAGAGCGCCGTCGTCATGTCCGACTACCACATCTGCAAGTATGACGCCATCCTCGGCGTGCTCGTCTGCATCGGCGACGACGCTGACGTGCTGGTGCTCGGGAGAGAAATGTGCCGCGAGCTGCTGCCGCTGCCGCGTGGGATGCACTGGTTAGATGCCTTTGTCTACACCGGCACCACGAGTTTCCTGGCGCTCTGCCCCGAGACTCTTCTCTGCATGGACTACAGCGCTGGCGTGAGTGGCGACGGCGACAGTGCACTTCGCTGCGCTGGCCCCGGTGCGCAGTTCACCTGCCTGCACGTCGCCCAGGGACTGACCTGCGGGGTGGTGGGTCGGAAGGACGGGTGGGTCTCGTACTTCCGGCTTGACCCTGTGTCGAACAGCCCCGAGGTGCGGCCGCAGCTGCGCTGGACAGCGCTGGAAACCAATGTGCTGAACTTCTGCCTCCCGTTTTGCGCAGCGCCGGGTGCGGTTCTCGACACCACGCCTGCCAGCCGCTCGAAGTTTTTTGCCGGTGGCTCCTTGCTGTCTATTGACTCGTATCCAAACAACCCCAATGCCCTCATCGGGGTGGTGGCGGGCGTGCCGGGCGTGTGCAAGTGGTACGTCGACGAAAACCGTCTCAGCTGCTTCTTCGACGCGCGCACCATCGCCGACCAGCCGGATGCGCTGCTCGCGACGTGCCGAGTCACCCCCGGTGGGGTCTACGTCGCCGCCGTCACCATGCGCTGCACGAAGGTGTTGCTGTGGAACGAGAGCAAAAAGCGCCGGGACAAGGTGGCCGACCTGTACTGGGTGGTGGACCTCACCCAGCAGATCACGCAGGGGGTGCCGAGCGTCCCTGGTGGTGGGATGGAGGACGCGTTTGCATACAACGAGTACCGCGTTGGCCTAAACATGGCTCGCACCGCGCTCGATGACAGCTTCCGCGCCACCAACGACAAGCACAGCCAGATGTACCTCCTGTTGCATGGCCAGCGCGACATATTGGAGGTGGTGGTCCGCCTCGACGACAAGCAGGTGATGCGGCAGGACGCCATTATTGCTCACCTGAACGCGTACACCGCGCAGCACGGCGTGGAGGCGGCGCGGACCAAGAAGACGAGCAGCCCGACCGGAACCGGCGTGGCAAGCACGGTGGAGAACTATTTCAACGTCTTCCATGTGGAGCCGTGCGTCTTGTCGAACTACTGGACGAGTGGCTTGACCGATGTAGACCTGGAGGCGCTTTTCGTCACCAGCGAAGACGGCCTCCGCCCCATCCTGGCGAAGCGAAACCGCCAAACCGGCGGCATCGAGAGCATCCGCGAGCTGCGCGAGCTCAACGTGCAGGCGCCGTGGTACCCGCGCGCGCTGCTGCTGCGCCTGCCTGCGAACCAAATCCGCGCCGTCTCCGAGGAGGCCCAGCGCACCGCGGTCGCTTCCATTTGGGAGAAGATGCTGCGTGGCGGCGACACGCTGTTGCGTCACGCGTTACCGGACGTGGAAGCGCGGGAGGAGACCAGCTCCGATGTCGCGCAACTGTGGCGGCAGAGCGTGATGGTGACCGTCACCGACGCCGCGCAGGCGGTCTGCCTCTCGCCGCAGTCGAACGAGGCCTTCAGCGTGAGCTCGCGTGCGCTGGTGAACTGCGTGCCATGGTCAACGCTGGCGATCGGCCAAGACCCGGAGGCGCTGGTGCTGGAGGCGGCGCTGCCCTCCCTCCGCTCCGTTTTTCTGCCGACGGAAATTATTCTTCGCGTGTACAGCACCGAGTCCATCGTGACCGTCATGAAGCACGACATCCGTCGCAACACCGGCTCGCTGGCACTCGACCTGGACCGAGCCTCGCTGCAGCTCGACGGCCCAGGAGAGCCGAAGAGACGCATGGTCCAGCAAGCCGTGCTCGTCAACGCGCGGCTTGAGCCGTCGAGGGTGACGAGCAAGGTGTCCGTCTTCAAGGATGGCAAGTGCCTGCTGCTTCTGCTGGAGGACTCTTCTGTCGCGCTGGTGGACCTCGCCGGCAAAGGCGATGACGGGCGGCCGTACATGCTGCAGGTGCCCGCCGGCCTGCTGCCCGTTGGCGCCACCATCGCCTCCCTCGATGCGTTTTGGATGGCGAACGCCGGCAACGCCGCCACCACGAACCTCACTGGGCTGCTCTGCCTTGCCTGCCTCTTCAAGGATCAGAAGGGCTTTCTGCTGTGGAACTTGAGCGACATGCGCATGATCACCTACTCTCACCCGGACTACGCAGCGGCGGCGACGCGGCTGGTGGTGACGGCCGCTGCCCAGCCTCCGCTGCCGAACCTGTCTGGCGATGTGAAGACGTTCGACGTGACGCTCTCTGTCGCGGCGGCGATGCAGACTGCTGGGGAGTATGGCAGCCTCACCTTCTGCGATGCCATCGGCTCCGCGCTCTTCTCCCTCTCGCTGGCTTTCGGCGTTACGCAGTCGGCGGCACTGTGCTGGTGCTACCGCCAGAGCGTTGAAGAGGAATGGGTGGCGCTGCCGCCGGCTGTCGCCGCAACGCGGCAGATTGTGGTGCACTCGCAGGTGACCGGCAACGCGCTGGAGTGGTCCATCGTCGTGGGCGGTACGACAGCCGCGACGGGCAGCAGCCCGCTCCAGGGCAGCATCATGAACGCCAAGACGAGCTGGACGTGTGGAAAGGCGAACCTTGCCTACGACACCGACGCCGGCGAGATGCGCAACTACGAGATCAGCCGCGACACCTCCGCCAACGACCGCATTTCCCCGGCGCTCGCCTTTGTGGGGCCGCACGAGATTGCGGTGGTGCAGGTGTCGGGCTTTTTCCCCGCAGCCAACTCGTCAACTTTAGCGAAGAGCAGCTCCGCGGCTGATGCCGTGCCTGCGGCTGTCTGCCGGCTCGACCCGGCGCGTCGCCTGGAGCACTTCAGCGTCTACCACGGCCGCGGCGCGCTCATCGTTGTGACGCGCGATGCGAACGGGTGGCGGTGGGTGAACATCCTCGACAGCCGGTCCGCGAAGCCGATGATGCAGCCGTACGCAACACTGGACTTTGTCGGTGAGGAAAATGTCCAGGTGCTGCTGGTGGAGATCGACAACGTGCTGCACCTCTACTTCCTCGGCTCGAACAGCGGCGTGGTGGGCCACTTCTTTGTGGAGGCGAATTTGGGTGCGTCGAAGGAGAGTAGCGTGCGCAAGCACCCCTGCTTTCAAGACCCACGCTATCACTTCACACCCAGCACGTTCCGCGGCTACGGCCGATATCTTCCGCCGGCGCCAACACTGAAGCAGGAGACCGGCTTCTTCAAGCGGCTCATGACGCTGCCGTGGGAGGACATCGCCCTCAAGCTCGAGTCCGAGACGTTGCGTGCGACCAAAGCGGCGGCGTCGCTACCACCAAGCGGAAGCGCTCCTGCGCCGCCTCCTTCAGTCAGCGCTGCCGCAGCTCGTCCGGCGCAGGCGAACCCGGAAGCAGAGCGCCATGAGCTTCTCGGCTCTCGCACTAGCAACACGAGCGCCTCCGTCTCCGCACCGCCGACTGCAGCAGCGCGGCCCGGCGGCACCACCACGGCAGCGGCACCGCTTCCAGCGCCGGCTCTGTCAGGCAGCGCTCCTGCTGAGGAGCGGGGTGGCCGGTATGTGCAGCTGAAGGCCATTGCAGAAAGCCAGAACGTGAGTCTCACGGAGGCACGTCGTATGATGAGTGAGAACGTGCGCAAGTTGCAGGAGCGCGGCGAGCGGCTCAACGAGGTTGAGAACCGCTCCGCCGAACTCGCCCAGAACGCCCTGACGTTCCAAGACCTGGCGCGTCAGCTGAAGGAAAAGCAGCGCAGCAGCTGGCTGTAGTGTGGCGTGAAGGACGAAGTGTAACGTTGAAAAGGTCGCATTTCACTCCATTTTTTCTCTCATAGCTGTGATCTTGGAGAAAGCACCTATTTGAAGTGTGTGTCTCGTTGTGGAAAAGCAACAACAACATGAAACGCAAAAGTGTGCAATGCCCATTTCCATTAGTTCGGCCCGCCTTTTGTGGCGGCGGTCGCTCTCTCGGGGTGGCTTCAAAAAGAAAATCTGCTTGGTCGGAATGCCTTCCGCGAAGGAAAATCCGCGGCCCTG